TCAATCAATTGAAAGTTAAAAGGCGGGACTGAGGAGCTGAAGATCAACCGCCCTCATCTCTTCCCACAAAAAAAAATCAACAAATTTCTTATTATATACAACGAATGCCGAGGTAAAACATGACAAAATGTTTACCTTTGAAGAAACAACCCGGCTTATACAAGGCCAGGAGGTGGCGGGTAATTGGCCAGAGCCGCTTAGCTCCCTGAAAGCTGATTGGTTGTCTACGCTTCGCAGTATTCAGCTGAGCAGTTTACCATCACAGCGTACGTTATTGGCTCAGGTGTTTACCTCCCCCCTGCTGGTTAATTGGCTTTACGGATGATGGTGTAAAACCGTTCCTCGGTTCCCGGAAGACTGCTCATAGAAAACAACTCTTTGGGCTGAAAAAGTTACCCGTTAAAAGACAACGTACAGACAAATAACAGATTTCTTACTATATTTTGTTATATAATAAACAAAGACAAATAACGGTAGTTATAGAGAGCTGTTTTAACAGCTCTCTATAACTACTTATAGTTTTTAAGCACCTTCCCGACAATGCACTTGGCGGATTTTTCAGATTAAATCAATTTGTTTTTGTTTATCCGCTGAACTCTATATAAGAGTTCTCGCGATATAATCAGTTTTCGCATTTTCTGTACGAGTTATATATATATATATATATATATATATATATATATATAGAGAGAGAGAGAGAGAGAGAGAGAGAGAGAGAGAGAGAGAGAGAGAGAGAGAGAGAGAGAGAGAGAGAGAGAGAGAGAGAGAGAGAGAGAGAGAGAGAGAGAGAAGAGAGAGAGAACCTCGGAGAGAGAACCTCGCATCCTAGGGGTCCAAAACCCGGATTTCCCAGCACTTCGCCCTGATGGCATCACCATATACTCATGGAAGGAGGGTAGACAGTTGGTGTGGGACTACACATGTGTATCCACCCTGGCTGACACCTATGTACACTTCGGAGCTGATCAAGCAGGTGGGGCGGCCAACCACAGGGAAACAGCAAAATCACTCAAGTACAGGCGACTGGAAGGTCAATACCTCTTTGTTCCCATAGCGTCTGAGACGCATGGCCCCTGGGGCAAGAGTGCCTTGGGATTTCTCAAGGAATTGGGGTCCAAGCTCATTGACGTCACCAGAGACCCAAGGGCTTCCAGTTTTTTATTTCAGCGTCTCAGTGTGGCGAACCAGAGGGGAAATGCTTGCTGCGTCCTCGGTTCCTGTCCAGAAGCGGAGGAGCTTCAAGAGATCCATAACCTTTAGGCATTTGTCTTGTATGTTTTGTAACCTTTAAATACACAATAAAGGAAAAAAAAAAGGGGGAAGGGGGTGGTAGGAGAAAAGCACACAGAAACTGTATTGGAGGGGACCCACATTCCCTCCAATGCGTTATGTGTGGTTTCCTCCGAGGCTATGGGTCCCCCTTCTTCCAGCCAGAGGTGGTACTCCCTTCCCTATTTAAAAAAAAAAAAAAAAAAAAAAAATATATATATATATATATATATATATATATATATATATATATATATATATATATATATATATATATATATATATATATATATATATATATATATATATGTATACACACACACCGAGAGGGTGTACCCCGCTTCTCGGTGTACACAAACCGAGAGAGTACTTTAGTCTTGGACCATGTTCTGGACCAAGGAATACTTGATGAGTGGTCAGTAAGCAATTGTGGTGGTCTTAAATTAATGACCCTCTGGTCTAGAGATTGAAACGCCTTCAGCCCAACACCAAACCAAGCTTTGACTGGCACACTGCGCATTACAGTAATCAATTTTAAAATATTCAACTCATTTCAGCTGTGGAGAGTGACGATAAGGCTGGTGTGAAGAACACCCTTCATGGAAGTCCCGTGATGCCAGTCCGACACCTCGCTCTTTGGACACCTGCGCACCAAATTTGCCGACAATTCAGAGTCTGTCGACACGAAAAAATGCCTCGAGTTGTTGGGAAGCAATTTCTTATCAGTTGCCCAGCCACAAAAATATATAATAATCATCGATGCCACTGTGGTGCTCGGAATATAGAACTGCATTAATTTTTAATTTAGATATTTCATTTATTACGCTACTATCAATTTCGTTAAAAAATGTGTGTACATGCATTTTAAATTGCAGAAACAAACTTTACATAAAAGCTAGTGATCTAATAAATAAAAAAAGAAAGTAATAATATAATTAATTTTTCAAAATAATCTATTGGGAGAACATAAAAATTAAACAAATCTTTTCGCTTCTATTATTCGCTCACACCTTGTAAAAACAACAAATATGGACTTTAACTTGCAAAATCAGTATACTTAAAAAAATATGATAAGGGTACCGAGAGTCAATGGCAGAATTAAAATATGCAGACAAAAAGATGTGCGAGATTATAGTATCTAATGTAAACACCGAATGCTTTAACCGCGTACCAGACAATAGAATGAATAGACCCGTTGAATTAACCAGGAGATAAGTTGACAGGCTTGTCCTAATTAACTTTCAGTGATTTGCACTGGCGTGTCCTAATTGATTGTCGTGCATTGCACATAATTACTTCTCCACCTCGATTTTGAACAAACTAAAAGTCATACATAATGAATCCATGAGGGTGATTCTAGGTGCCCCAAGATGCACAAGAGTCATTAACATGAGAGAAGAGGGAAGCTTTCTACCACACTAGAGGATCATACAAGCCAACACGACCTTTAGCATCATAGTCATGAGTGGCCCTACATCTACAGTATTACTAGGATAAATTATTCTGTGCCCTTCATACTCTCATGATTGGGGCTAACATGTCAATTCACTCATTTGATGATAATTAGTTAAATAAAAATGTCTACAATCTCCACAAACTGAACATACATTTTATATATAATCTACCTGTCACTGATATCCCTCTTTATATCTGCACGCCACCATTCAAGTATCATACACACCCATCACCATAAAAGGTAATGATAATCTTGACCTTTAAACTGTCACATTTGAAATAATTGCCTCCTCTATCAAAAGCCTAAGTTCTCACGAGCATTACATCTACACCAAAGGCTCAGTCCAATTGTCAACAGGACGCACTGCACCAGCCTGTAAGTTTTATAGATATAATATACACAGGTTTTAAGTGCCAGGTTAAACAAAATGGCTGAACTCTACACCAACTGAACTACAACTAGATTCTAGTACGCTAAAAAAACATTGCAGGAGTTTTCTGTGATTCAGTCTCCTCTTCAAGCACTTTAAAACTTCTGCAAGACAGACAACAAAAACCTCATAGTAGCAATGATAAACAATTGCCTATTTATTGCCTCGCCTCCTCCCCTCATCACAATCAACTTGAGAATGATCCAGGACAGACCGAAACGTCGTCGTCCCTTCACTTTCTAGTGTGTGGCTTGGTCAACATTATAAGCAATTTGCTCGATGCATAGAATAATGGACTTAGAATATCTTTTGTAAGGATTTCATCTCATATAAACATAATTATCATGAAAACACATAAATAACAACCAAATTAGCATGCAACAAGAATGAAGTTGAACTTGACCTAAGTACTCTACTATCTCTACTATTAAGAAAATATTGCACCAAATATTCAGATCTGATTGAGTCTGTAAATTCTCTCCTAAGACCTCAAAGCACCAGTGTAAAAGTTATGATTTGTTTAGATCTGACGCCTATGTATTTGGGCAGCACAAAACGTCTACCATGATATCCTCATGCTGTTTCCGAGGTTTGCAAGCGCAGGCTATTGATAATATGCTCCTGCGTGATTAACCATCCTACGAGATGTGAATTTCCTAGCATTTCATAGCTAGCTCTTGATACAATGTAACCCTTCATATAGTCTAGGGTAGCTGCATTAAATGCAGATGTACCTAATTATCATAATAAAAAAGCGACCAGACAACGAGACCAAATATGAGAAGACCTATAACTTTGATCAGCAAGAAAGTCGAGACGATCGCTATAAGTAGTTTACCTGGAGACAAACAGTTGAGATAGACGACTAGAAATGCAGCCTAATACAAGATGTGCAATGTAACTCTTGTAATGTTTGTGCAGCTACATAATTTTACACAAAAAAATTGCCAGCAAAGTTGTTCCAATTCGTAAATTGGATAATTTACATTCAAGAGTTATTTAACCATCCTATTGGCATTGGTTGTTGTAATTGTTTTATAATGGGGACAAAAAGGGGCATTAAGTCACCTATTTATAGATATTGCTAACTATGCACTATAAGTCTGGTATTTGACTGAATTTAATGCGGACAATATTAATTTCATCGTTTAAAGCTTTCTTTAACACATTCACGAAAAGCCTTGGGTAACAAATAAAACTGAAACCCAGTTGCAAATATCCTCATTAGGCTGAGCTACCATTTAGACCATGATTGATGCCTTAATATTTCAGTATCAGCACATAATATCACAAGAATTAAAAGCAATATTCAGGGTATTAATCCCTCTGGCGTCACATCATCGAGGTTATTCACACTGGCGTGACATAATACTTGATAATTAAAAAAATTGCATTTACGAAATAAAATAAATATGAAATTGTAATAAAAAATATGAACCACTGCAGTTAAAAGTAACCTATATTTCTATATTAGGGATATATACGATTACTGTGTAATTTTCAATTACAACAATATACACAAATGTATATTGCATATGTAGACTCTAATAATACACATATTCGAATAATAAAAACATAAGGTTAATATACGCATGCGTGTATTAAGCACATATCAATAAAATGCAAATTAGATAAAAATAAAAAAAATAATATAAATATTACAGGAAAATTTTAAACAATATACATTAAAAAATTTCACCATTCAAAATAGGCGAGTCATGGGTGGTGTGTCCAGCCGGTCAATGATGAGGCATTAAGCCAAACCCATTTTCTATGATATATATTTATATATATATAGTTACGTCCGTTTTCTAAAAGCATCCCCGTTGTCGGGGAAACCAAGTACTGTATCTCACAATAAACAAAACAGCTTTGAGCGATTCGTACTTCAACGGGCAACAAGCTACTTTCGACCTCTCGTAATGTTGTTGTGGTGGTGTGTATCTAGTTATGGGCAATCAACAAAACGAGGATGTAATACATAAGCTATCTAACTCAACCAAAGATGGTGAATTGCGGAATTTTACTATACACCAGCTCAATGGTAAGTCAATGCCGGTATTTTGCTGGCTAGCTTGGGATATATTTAAATTTTGTAGTGGGGTAAAAAAATAAAAACTCATGCATTAGTAGTTTGGTCTGTATATACAATTTAATATGAAATACTAAATTGATATTCTGTAAATAATTTTTATTCGAAATCATGAAATATTGCGTATTTTGCAGTATATCTTCTGGAGATCATTTAGATATTACAGTTATTTTAGACCCAATTATAAAAACAGGCAGGATATATACACAAAGAGATGCCTATAGATTCTCTGTGCATATTTATTGAAATTTTACTTTAGCTTTGAATCGTGTTCAGAACTAAAATATACTTGCTTGTGAAGCAAATGTCTCGGCTGATAGGCCTTAAGATAGAATTTTAAGGAATAAGATTATATATATATATATATATATATATATATATATATATATATATATATATATATATATATATATATATATATATATATATATATATATATATGTCGTACCTAGTAGCCAGAACGCACTTCTCAGCCTACTATGCAAGGCCCAATTTGCCTAATAAGCCAAGTTTTCATGAATTAATGTTTTTTCGACGACCTAACCTACCTAATCTAACCTAACCTAACTTTTTCGGCTACCTAACCTAACCTAACCTATAGAGATAGGTTAGGTTAGGTTAGGTAGGGTTGGTTAGGTTCGGTCATATATCTACGTTAATTTTAACTCCAAAAATAAAAAATTGACCTCATACATAATGAAATGGGTAGCTTTATCATTTCATAAGAAAAAAAATTAGAGAAAATATATTATTTAAGGAAAACTTGGCTTATTAGGCAAATCGGGCCTTGTATAGTAGCCTGAGAAGTGCGTTCTGGCTACTAGGTACGACATATATATATATATATATATATATATATATATATATATATATATATATATATGTCGTACCTAGTAGCCAGAACGCACTTCTCAGCCTACTATGCAAGGTCCGATTTGCCTAATAAGCCAAGTTTTCATGAATTAATTGTTTTTCGACTACCTAACCTACCTAACCTAACCTAACCTAACTTTTTGGGCTACCTAACCTAACCTAACCTATAAAGATAGGTTAGGTTAGGTTAGGTAGGGTTAGTTAGGTTCGGTCATATATCTATGTTAATTTTAACTCCAATAAAAAAAAATGACCTCATACATAATAAAATGGGTAGCTTTATCATTTCATAAGAAAAAAATTAGAGAAAATATAATAATTCAGTAAAACTTGGCTTATTAGGCAAATCGGGCCTTGCATAGTAGGCTGAGAAGTGCGTTCTGGCTACTAGGTACGACATATATATATATATATATATATATATATATATATATATATATATATATATATATATATATATATATATATATGTCGTACCTAGTTGCCAGAACTCACTTCTGAGCCTACTATGCAAGGCCCGATTTGCCTAATAAGCCAAGTTTTCATGAATTAATTGCTTTTCGACTACCTAACCTACCTAACCTAACCTAACCTAACTTTTTCGGCTACCTAACCTAACCTAACCTATAAAGATAGGTTAGGTTAGGTTAGGAAGGGTTGGTTAGGTTCGGTCATATATCTACGTTAATTTTAACTCCAATAAAAAAAAATTGACCTCTTGCATAATGAAATGAGTAGCTTTATCATTTCATAAGAAAAAAATTAGAGAAAATATATTAATTCATGAAAACTTGGCTTATTAGGCAAATCGGGCCTTGCATTGTAGGCTGAAAAGTGAGTTCTGGCTACTAGGTACGACATATATATATATATATATATATATATATATATATATATATATATATATATATATATATATATATATATATGTCATACCTAGTAGCCAGAACTCACTTCTCAGCCTAATATGCAAGGCCTGATTTGCCTAATAAGCCTAGTTTTCATGAATTAATGTTTTTTCGACAACCTAACCTACCTAACCTAACCTAACCTAACGTTTTCGGCTACCTAACCTAACCTAACCTATAAAGATAGGTTAGGTTAGGTTAGGTAGGGTTGGTTAGGTTCGGTCATATATCTACGTTAATTTTAACTCTAATAAAAAAAAATTGATCTCATACATAATGAAATGGGTAGCTTTATCATTTCATAAGAAAAAAATTAGAGAAAATATATTAATTCAGTAAAACTAGGCTTATTAGGCAAATCGGGCCTCGCATAGTAGGCTGAGAAGTGAGTTCTGGCTACTAGGTACGACATATATATATATATATATATATATATATATATATATATATATATATATATATATATATATATATATATATATATATGTCGTACCTAATAGCCAGAACGCACTTCTCAGCCTACTATTCAAGGCCCGATTTGCCTAATAAGCCAAGTTTTCATGAATTAATGTTTTTTCGTCTACCTAACCTACCTAACCTAACCTAACCTAGCTTTTTTTGGCTACCTAACCTAACCTTACCTATAAATATAGGTTAGGTTAGGTTAGGTAGGGTTGGTTAGGTTCGGTCATATATCTACGTTAATTTTAACTCCAATAAAAAAAAATTGACCTCATACATAGAGAAAAGGGTTGCTTTATCATTTCATAAGAAAAAAATTATAGTAAATATATTAATTCAGGAAAACTTGGCTTATTAGGCAAATCGGGCCTTGAATAGTAGGCTGAGAAGTGAGTTCTGGCTACTAGGTACGACATATATATATATATATATATATATATATATATATATGTCGTACCTAGTAGCCAGAACGCACTTCTCGGCCTACTATGCAACGCCCGATTTGCCTAATAGGGCGAGTGATATTCTTTATTTTTAATAAATTGTTTCCAATTGGTTTATTTTAAATATTATTCATATATTATGTTAAGAACATAAATTATTTATTTAGTTATGTTAGTTTAGGTTAGGTTAAGATAGGTTAGGTAGGGTTGGTTAGGTTCGGTCATATATATACGTTAGTTTTAACTCAAATTAAAAAAGTATTAGCTCAAACAAAATTAAATGAATAGCTTTATCATTTCACAAGAAAAAAAAATAAAAATTTTAAAAATTCCGGAAAACTTAGCTTATAAGAAAACTGTATATTAGTTTAAAACTATATATTATATTATATATATATATATATATATATATATATATATATATATATACATATATATATATATAATTTTATTCCTGCGTTGTTAATGGTTATATAAGTAGCAAAGAAACTAATTATATTTAATTTAATATCATAATATATTAGAAATATATATTTTGTTGGGAATATATATGAGCTAATTCCTATTGGCCAACAGGGTCTTTGTACTGCACTGCCTCAATTCTTGTTCTAGTTATACCTCTCTGCTACACACCTCAGCCCCTGACGTCTCTTCTCGTAAATGCCGTGAACGTGAGCAGATTGAGACTGATCCATGCCACATCGTACAGTCACATCGTACACAAGACGGTTCGCCACCGGATCTTAAAGCCTAACCTTACCCAAATTCTAACCTAACCAAATTAAACCTAACACAGCTTAACTTAAGCTAATATAACCTAATAATGTTTTGACACTTAAAACGAACTTTGTCGGACTGAATTGTGTACAATTTGACCACCCTATTGAAACCGCCAATATAATTAATTTCACAGGAGGCCTGAGTAGCGGTGATGGACGAGCTGGCGTGTTCAGTATGTTCTGAGGAATTCAGGGGTGGTATTCGAGAGCCTGTGGTGCTGCCACAGTGTGGCCATACCTTCTGCCGGCCCTGCCTCCTCAGCCTACAGGCAATGCACCCTAGCTTGAGGTGCCCCGCCTGCAGGAGACGACACAAGGGAGCCTCCGTGGCCCACCTCCCTACCAACTTCACCGTCCTCAACCTGGCCACCGCTGCTCACGCAAACAACAAGGTTTAACGGTTTAACAGTAAAACAATGTGCCTGTAGCAATGGCCGCTTTAGTCACTAATAATAATAGCATTATTAGGATAGACTGGTTGGAATCTGGTGAGGAACACCAACTTTGTTATAGTAATAAACAGAGGTAGGTGTCAGCTGTGGAAAGAAACTGACAAAAGTGTAGTTCAAGGCATGTGTATGTAGCAACTGCCCGCAGCTAGGTTAAGTGTTACTGGCAACCATTCAAAATTAATCAGTAAATTATTAACCTTATTAATAGTCAGAAAATTGGTTTGCCATGAAAAAATTATGTTTATATTTCCGTCGCTTAAATTCCTTCAAGAATAGTGCCTGCTCCCTCTAAGCCTTCACAGCATGCTAGCCTCCTCCAGCAGAATGCTCGTCTTCACACAGTGCTAGACACCACAGTATCCTAGCCCTCACCCCCGAACAGTGTGCTAGTCCCTTCACAACACAAAGTTATAATAGCATTCCCTGAGGAAGGCGTTAAGCTAGCAATGAGAAAATCTAAGCTTTCCTTACCTCTTGCCATCTTGGTCCTCACGCCCTTGCAACGCCAGCCACTTCCTTGTTCCGGCATCACAAATATTAACCAAACAATCCACTGAGAAATGCTTTGCCAGCTGGCTAGTCACATACACCTTGATTACTCTTAGCACATTGCACATACGTGTGTGCTACACACCCGGAGAAGTACACAAGAGTAATATGTAAGTCACTAGTTGATTGCGTGACGAAGCGTCCTCTCACGACAACATTAGTGTTCTGCCAGGTCCAGGAAACACGTTTTTTTTTATTTATGCATTTCTGCCATACACTTATATGTAGTTTGTTCCACAATCAAATACGCTTTATTCAAATGTAGAATTTGTATAACTGGAAAATTTAGGAGCTTCAACAGGCAAAATATTTGTTTATAATGAAATATAATCGAAACAGTCTCGAATTATCGTATGTTTCGCCTGCAACCCATGCTCGGTCATGCCATTTTCATTAACGCGTACAACATTCTTTCTTACGGTGTAATAAAAAAACATATTTTTGAATATAGATTAATATTATTATTATTATTATATATATATATATATATATATATATATATATATATATATATATATATATATATATATATATGTCGTACCTAGTAGCCAGAACGCACTTCTCAGCCTACTATGCAAGGCCCGATTTGCCTAATAAGCCAAGTTTTCATGAATTAATTGTTTTTCGACTACCTAACCTACCTAACCTAACCTAACTTAACTTTTTCGGCTACCTAACCTAACCTAACCTATAAAGATAGGTTAGGTTAGGTTAGGTAGGGTTGGTTAGGTTCGGTCATATATCTACGTTAATTTTAAATCCAATAAAAAAAAATTGACCTCATCCATAATGAAATGGGTAGCTTTATCATTTCATAAGAAAAAAATTAGAAAAAATATATTAATTCAGGAAAACTTGGCTTATTAGGCAATTCGGGCCTTGCATAGTAGGCTGAGAAGTGGGTTCTGGCTATTAGGTACGACATATATATATATATGCGAACAAGCCTGAATGGTCCCCAGGACAATATGCAACTGAAAACTCACACCCCAGAAGTGACTCGAACCCATACTCCCAGGAGCAACGCAACTGGTATGTACAAGACGCCTTAATCCACTTGACCATCACGACCGGACATAATGAGGTGATAGCCGAGGCTATTTGAACCACCCCACCGCCGGCACTCGGATAGTAATCTTGGGCATAGCATTTTACCAAATCACCTCATTCATTGGGGCACACGTGAGGAACACAAATGCGAACAAGCCTGAATGGTCCCCAGGACAATATGCAACTGAAAACTCACACCCCAGAAGTGACTCGAACCCATACTCCCAGGAGCAACGCAACTGGTATGTACAAGACGCCTTAATCCACTTGACCATCACGACCGGACATATTTGTGTTCCTGACGTGTGCCCCAATGAATGAGGTGATTTGGTAAAATGCTATGCGCAAGATTACTATCCGAGTGCCGGCGGTGGGGTGGTTCAAATAGCCTCGGCTATCACCTCATTATGTCCGGTCGTGATGGTCAAGTGGATTAAGGCGTCTTGTACATACCAGTTGCGTTGCTCCTGGGAGTATGGGTTCGAGTCACTTCTGGGGTGTGAGTTTTCAGTTGCATATTGTCCTGGGGACCATTCAGGCTTGTTCGCATTTGTGTTCCTCACGTGTGCCCCAATGAATGAGGTGATTTGGTAAAATGCTATGCCCAAGATTACTATCCGAGTGCCGGCGGTGGGGTGGTTCAAATAGCCTCGGCTATCACCTCATTATGTCCGGTCGTGATGGTCAAGTGGATTAAGGCGTCTTGTACATACCAGTTGCGTTGCTCCTGGGAGTATGGGTTCGAGTCACTTCTGGGGTGTGAGTTTTCAGTTGCATATTGTCCTGGGGACCATTCAGGCTTGTTCGCATTTGTGTTCCTCACGTGTGCCCCAATGAATGAGGTGATTTGGTAAAATGCTATGCCCAAGTTTACTATCCGAGTGCCGGCGGTGGGGTGGTTCAAATAGCCTCGGCTATCACCTCATTATGTCCGGTCGTGATGGTCAAGTGGATTAAGGCGTCTTGTACATACCAGTTGCGTTGCTCCTGGGAGTATGGGTTCGAGTCACTTCTGGGGTGTGAGTTTTCAGTTATATATATATATATATATATATATATATATATATATATATATATATATATATATATATATATATATATATATATATATATATATATATATTTATATTATTAAATATGACCGAAAAAGTAAGATTAATAATTCTAACACGAATTTTCTCAATCTTTCGTACATTTCTTTTCACTGTTGGAGGTAATTCAAAAATCAATTCTCCAAAATTCATTTTTATTTCTAGTCTGACGCGACACTTGAGCGCGTTTCGTAAAACTTATTACATTTTCAAAGACTTTACACATACACAACTGAATAGAACTTACATATCTCCGATTTGTTTATATCTACATTTGAGTGAGGTGGATGGGGTGAGGTGGTATTTAATAGGGTATTAATTTCATCAACACAAGACAGAACACGAAACAATGGGTATTGAAATGGAAGTGATTGTAGAAAGCCTATTGGTCCATATTTCTTGATGCTTCTATATTGGAGCGGAGTCTTGAGTTGGGTAGAATATAGTTGTGCATTAATTGGCTGTTGATTGCTGGTGTTGACTTCTTAATGTGCAGTGCCTCGCAAACGTCAAGCCGTCTGCTATCGCTGTATCTATCGATGATTTCTGTGTTGTTTACTAGGATTTCTCTGGCGATGGTTTGGTTGTGGGAAGAGATTATATGTTCCTTAATGGAGCCCTGTTGCTTATGCATCGTTAAACGCCTATAAAGAGATGTTGTTGTCTTGCCTATATACTGGTTTTTTTGGAGCTTACAGTCCCCAAGTGGGCATTTGAAGGCATAGACGACGTTGGTCTCTTTCAAAGCGTTCTGCTTTGTGTCTGGAGAGTTTCTCATGAGTAGGCTGGCCGTTTTTCTGGTTTTATAGTAAATCGTCAGTTGTATCCTCTGATTTTTGTCTGTAGGGATAACGTTTCTATTAACAATATCTTTCAGGACCCTTTCCTCCGTTTTATGAGCTGTGGAAAAGAAGTTCCTGTAAAATAGTCTAATAGGGGGTATAGGTGTTGTGTTAGTTGTCTCTTCAGAGGTTGCATGGCGTTTCACTTTCCTTCTTATGATGTCTTCGACGAAACCATTGGAGAAGCCGTTGTTGACTAGGACCTGCCTTACCCTACAGAGTTCTTCGTCGACTTGCTTTGAAAGAACGCTTTGAAAGAGACCAACGTCGTCTATGCCTTCAAATGCCCACTTGGGTGAGACCTCCGGTGATGGGTGATGGGTGAGACCTCCGATTGGCGTGAAGTCACCAGTGGAGTCCCACAGGGCTCTGTACTCGGTCCTATCTTGTTTCTGATATATGTAAATGATCTCCCGGAGGGTATAGATACATTTCTCTCAATGTTTGCGGAAGATGCCAAAATTATGAGAAGGATTAAGACAGAAGAGGACTGTTTGAGGCTTCAAGAAGACCTAGACAAACTGCAGGAATGGTCGAACAAGTGGTTGTTAGAGTTTAACCCAACCAAATGTAATATAATGAAGATAGGTGCAGGGAGCAGGAGGCCAAATACAAGGTATTATCTGGGAGAGGAAATTCTTCAGGAGTCAGAGAAAGAAAAAGACTTGGGAGTTGATATCACGCCAGACCTGTCTCCTGCAGCGCATATCAAGAGGATAACATCAGCGGCATATGCCAGGCTGGCCAACATACGAACGGCATTCAGAAATTTGTGTAAAGAATCATTCAGAACTTTGTATACCACATATGTCAGGCCAATCCTGGAGTATGCAGCCCCAGCATGGAGTCCGTATCTAGTCAAGGATAAGACTAAACTGGAAAAGGTTCAAAGATTTGCCACCAGACTAGTACCCGAGCTGAGAGGTATGAGCTACGAGGAGAGACTACCGGAATTAAACCTCACTTCGCTGGAAGACAGAAGAGTTAGGGGGGACATGATCACCACATTCAAGATTCTCAAGGGAATTGATAGGGTAGATAAAGACAGGCTATTTAACACAAGGGACACACGCACTAGGGGGACACAGGTGGAAACTGAGTGCCCAAATGAGCCACAGAGATATTAGAAATAACTTTTTTAGTGTCAGAGTGGTTGACAAATGGAATGCATTAGGAAGTGGTGTGGTGGAGGCTGACTCCATACACAGTTTCAAGTGTAGATATGATAGAGCCCAATAGGCTCAGGAACCTGTACACCTGTTGATTGACGGTTGAGAGGCGGGACCAAAGAGCCAGAGCTCAACCCCCGCAAGCACAATTAGGTGAGTACACACACACACATATATATATATATATATATATATATATATATATATATATATATATATATATATATATATACATATATATATATATATATATATATATATATATATATATATATATATATATATATATATATATATATATATATATATATATATATATATATATATATATATATATATATATATATGTAGGCTGGCCGTTTACGGCCAGCCTACTCATGAGAAACTCTCCAGACACAAAACAGAACGATATATATATATATATATATATATATATATATATATATATATATATATATATATATATATATATATATATATATATATATATATATTATTTAATTTAATGGTATAACTATTGCTTATTATTTATTACTACTAAATTTACCGTTGAACTCAGGAGTTCACATGTCCTCTTTAAATGTGATAATGGAAATTAGTCAGTCCTGTTCGTGTAGTCTCAAGCAATGTTGTATTTAATTTATACTCTATGCCTAAATATTTTATTTTAACAGTTTTCAAATTTGCTCAGGAAGCATATATCAGCTTATTACAAAAAGCTGTTATTGGGTGCGCTTATGGTAACAGACAATGTTGATTCAGCTTTATGGAATGTTTATTAAAAAATTATGATATTTTTTGTCATTCATATAGCATAAAATCTCCTCTTCGTACAACGTAGCTGACTTTTCTAAAATATGCTTCCCCACAGCATGATATTGAGGCATGTCAGCACCATGGTGACCCTGTGAGGATGTGGTGCAACCCGTGCCAGGAGCCGCTCTGTGGCCAGTGCCTCTTTGAGCGACACATGACTGAAAAACACCACGTTGTCAAGATCCAGTCTGTGGTCAGGGAGAAGAAGCAGAACATGGAGGCACAGACGGCGGAGATGCTGGAGTATGTGGAGGAGGAGCGAGCCAACCTTGCCGACGAGGTGCACAGCATCGCCCATCACCTGGCTTGTATCCATAGGAGAAGTTCAGCTCTCACTAGGTACGTCACGGATGTGCACAGGATCTTGAAGGACGTGAGGAAAACGACGCGCATAGTGTCCGTGTTGGCAAACGAGAATAGTTTGGAAAGTTTGTCTTCCCAATTAGGAACAAAGCATTGCAATGACGTTAAAAAGAGTGTTGACAATGGCCAAGAGATAAGAAGTAGTCCAGTGGCACCATTCAAGTCAGATATATGTGACAATAACAAAGCTTGTCACTGCTGCAATAACTCTGAAAACTGCAGAGAAAGCGACGAGGCGCACCAGGACAAACCCTCACGGACCCTTCAGTTAGTTGACAGCGAAAACAACATACAGACAACGGAGACAGGCGTCGATGGGGCGTGCAAGAGAGACAGGAGCGAGACAGACGTCAACGAAGGTATTCGCAGTCGAGAAAAACTGACCAGTGACTGCGGCTCCGATAACGATCAAAATGATGATGGCGAAGCTTCCGATTCAGAGAGTGAGCCGAGAGTCAAGGATGAGATGGCCATGTGGCCCCTGACGCCCTGTGACACCACGGGCACTTCACCATTGTGGCCACGTATCGACTGGACACACTTCTGTTACCAGGTGAGACACCACCTTTCAAATTATAAGTTATATAAGAGCAAGTTGTGTGTGTTTGCTGAGATATATTAGTCTAAGTAAAATCTATTAAATCTAAACACAATTGTTTTCTGTAGAATAACGGGATTTTAACAAAATATTTGAACTGTATACACTATACAATATATGTTAAGACTAATAGTGAAATAATTAACTATGATAGTGAAATACATGAATATAATAGTGATTATGTTCAAATTCTAACTTAAGGGACGTGTCTTCTTTGTACATATGTATTTATAATGTAGTTTACACTCTAAGACGAGCTGTGTGTGGGAGACACTAAAACTAGTTTTTTTTTTTTTTTGCAGGGATATTCCTAAGCCTCTGGCTGGCTCACTAAACATTATTATCTTGACTTGCACTGTATGTTGTATATCTGGTACAGCCTTAATTGGCTCCCACACAGTAGCCTACAAAGCATGGCAAACTTAAATAGGTGTTGTCCTGACATGTTATTTGTGTTATAGCTGCCGGTGGTACAGCTGCTGGTACCGCCAGAGAAACCAGAAGTGTTCCTGCAGCTGAGTGTGGGAAGAAGAAGCCTAGGCCGCGTCCACATACGTCTGTGGGGATACCTGCGCCGCGCCCAGCACTTCCTGGCTCTGTGTCTGGGCACCCTTGGCCCCTCATATAAGGGCTCAAGGTTCTCAAATGTGGCTAGAAAGGGACAGCCTGGGGAAAGCCTAGTTGGATGTCAGTATAGAACAGAGGGCGGCAGCAGTAGCGCCCGTGGCCTGCTGGAGGGCCTGGAATGGCGAGGCAACTACTCAGGCCCGGTGAAGGAGGGTGTACTGGGAGGAGCGAGCGACGGAGACCCAAATCTTGAAGCCTTTTTTGGGATCTGTACCCGCGACTATCCAGAGGGAGAGTACTACTGCCCCTTCGGCGAAGTGGTGGGCGGGATGGAGGTGGTACGTAGAGCTGTGGCTCACGACCCCGTCAGTGACGTCACTATTACTGACATTACGTCGGCCAGGAATGATGGCTAACGTCGTGTTTTAACTATTATCATGATCTTCAATCAAGTGCTGGGTTTGCTGCTGGCTTATATACATCAACAGTCAAACTCTTACGCCCATTATGTGATGTTACCGGTATAGTGCATGTTCAAATGCGTCATATAATTTTTTCCATTTGTTTATAACAACACACTTTTGCAATCAGTAACACACTTAAGTATAAGTATATAGTATTCTACAACAAATTCTCTGCAGAGCCTACTTGAGGTCTCACAGGATACTCTGTTAAGTACCAACTTTGACAGTAACAATGTGGGAATTAACTGAAATATATGGTGACACGCTCATTATATACTTTTCCTGTCCTTTTAATAAAAAAGCAACTCAATGCAGTTTTTAGTTTTTAAATAAATTCCGTATTAAATTACACATTTACAGTTAATTACAGCTAGAAGGGCAGATAAGGGGGAACAGGTGAAGCCGGTTGCTCGCATCTCACTCTGCTCGTCAATTATTATATGTTCCCTCATGGTGATACCATAAAAAAGAACATTGTGGCATGTTAAGTATGCCATAAGTGTGCCCAGTGTACGACAAATACAGGACGTTTAGTAGTAACTCAGGTTCCCAGGTTAACAGGCGAGATTTAGTGATCTTGCCTACTAGCCTCATAAGCGAGAGCAAGGGTCGAATCATGGGCATCGACGTTCCATCTGCATTTCGTCCTTTTGTAACCATCAATGATTGTGGACCTGATTGTAAAATGACTAGCAAATTTTGTTTTTGAGAAAACACATGATTTTATATTATCCTAATTACTTCGCGTTCCTGTCCAAAGGCCTAAAAACCAAACATAAAAAGCAAACATTACATTGGGAACCGCGTGGACATTGCCTCGCTTGGGCTAGACCACAGATTGGTTGGTTACCCCATGTCACAGCGACCAATTTTCACTAGAAGCCTCGTGCAGCAGTGGATTGGTGTGGCTCGACAAATCTAATTATAGTACGGGCTGTTCAAAGGCAAAAGCAACCGATTAGAGAATGCATTGTCATTAGCAAATCACTAAAATAAATATTGTTTGTTATTATTTGTGCACATGATTACACGATGAATTATTGAGTAAAAAAACTTAATATCCCTCTTGATATGCCGTCGATTGTATGTCAACATGCAACCCGTGCTCGACTCAAGTCCATTACATTCAGCGGTCGACCCCACAGACGCATTCATAAATTTTAACATGCTGTTCATTCAAAACGGGAATTTTCTCAAGTATAAATTAATATTATATTATATTGGCATATTGTGTATATATAGGGATAGGTTAGGTCAGTGTTTAGGTTCTGTTGACGATTATTTGTATTTGTAGTACGTGGGTGAAGCATTTATAGCGTTGTGATTCGAACAAAATTCGTCAGTGAAGCACTTGTTCCGGATATGTTCGAACGTCAGCAGTTGTGAGTCGTGTGTAAACCGCTTTTCATTCATAAACAGGGGGTTTGGCGGGTGCATGGAATCACTTTTGGATCTTTGTTTGGAGGACAAGCTGCACGACTCACAACTGATTTCGTTCGAACACTTCCGGAACAAGTGCTTCACACCTTATGCACCTGTTGCATGGTAATCCTGGGGCTAAGTAATTATCAATAGAAGGCACCAAGCCGGGGGTGGCTATCAAAATTGCGGGATTTTCAAAAGGCGCTAAATATCACTAAGGATGCCAATACGAGAACAAAAGACCATAAGGCGAACATCATCAAAGGTATCCGATTTGATGTTGGACAGATGACCGCAAGAGACAGTCAGCAGGACACTCAACAAGGATATGAACGACCATAAGGGGGACAATGCAATTCGGAAAATAAGGAGCAGGATAGCACTCCATTAAGTACCCATGAGTTAAACGTGTATGGCCAATACGTAACCTTGCCAGAGCCGTTTCCCACCACCGATTACGGTGGTAGGAGGAAGGCCACGGGGACACACTATCCTTGTAACAAGGATAGTGTGTCCCCGTGTGATAGTGTGCCACACTACTGGTAACAAGCACGCAGTTTGTTACCAGTAATAGAAGACCAATGACCCTGCCAACGGGCAAGAATGGAGGAATGAATAACTGGGTAAAGGTCGGAATAAGGAATACCTTTATGGGAGATGGGACAGGTATGGATAGTTACCTTTCCTGGAACTAAGGTGGTCTGCCCCTTGGTGTGGACTTGGACCATATTCTGTAGAAGGAATGTGTCCAGGTGAGGGCTTTCACAGAGCAAATCTCAAGGTCGCTCTTGGTGAGGCCCATGAAGCCCACGCGCACTCTCCTTGCACCATCCCCAATCAAGGGTTATAGAAGAGGCGGATGCTGTGTACTAAATGTTAACAGTGTTTGGTAAAGATCTAATCTTAAAACCTTAAGACTTTAGGTAAAGACCCAGAGTGTTAAATGTTAGATAAGACATGTAAATGCCTAAAGTCACTAATACGCAGTGCATTTAAAATTGAGAAAATACAAATGCTTCAATACAGCAAAGTTAAAATTTAAGAACGCGTCTTTCAGGTTGTCCGCCAACTAGTGGAGCATAACCTGAGAATGGGTTGCAGCTCACGGTTCGTTCAAACAACTGAGTTGGATGGGCAAGGTGGGGTCAATTGAGTTGGAAAGAGGGCCAAAGTGCTGAGTGGACAGCGCTTTGGATTCGTAGTCCTGATCACTTCTGACCTGAGGTTCCTGGTTCGATCCCCGGTGGAGGCGGAAACAAATTGGCAGTTTTTTTCACCTCACCCGTACACCCATCACCCGTACACCCCATCACCCGTACACCCATCACCCGGACACCCCATCACCCGTACACCCCATCCCCCGGACACCTTCCATTACACTTCATCTCCGCCACAAGACGATCTCAAGTCTCACCATTGAAGACCAGTCACCTAGCAGTAAATAGGTACCTGAGAGTTAGACAGCTGCTGCGGGCTGCTTCCTGGGGGGTAACTAAAAGAAGGCCTGGTCAAGGACCGGGCCGCGGGGACGCTAAACCCCGAAATCTTCTCAAGATAACCTGGGCATTCCAACCTCTGTTGTAAATGCCGTAGTATTTCAGGAAATTAGGTATGGCAGAAAGCTAATAGATCAGCCTTACATGTCATGTTCTCTCCTGATTCCATGTATGACTAACCATCCTGTGAGATACGGATATTAGATCAACTTATAGTTTGTTTTTTATCTACACTGTAATTTTTCATATAGAATAGCAGCACATTTCTGTGTATACCTAAGCTTGTTAATACAAAAAAATGTAGATTACAAAGGGTAAAAAACTAATATTATAATAGTTATTTAATATGTGAAGTAGCTAATCAACTTTTAAACTGTTTTAAAACATTAATTTAAAAGAAAAAAAAAGCATAATTTATGTGACTAACATTTAAAAAATAACTAAAACGAAAGAAAATTTGCCAAGGTTGTTGTTGGTGTGTGTCTTAGTGCGATATAAAGAGCACTGTGATTGGCCGCATCGATGGAAGACGGTGATTGGCTGTCAGTGGTCTGACTTCAACAACAACAACAAAGATGGACGCGTGTACTGCTGTCGGAAGAGAAATTGACAAAGTACTAACCAAATTTACATCTTACAGTGAACATGCATCCAGTACAATTGCTTCCTTACATAATAATATTGAAAGCCTTCAAATAGAAATTAATCAAGGTGGGTCTACGAAAAGAGTTGGCCAGATAAAGTACACCAGACAATGAATGTAAATGTTTGGTATTTTACGAATTTACAATATGTAAGCACGTCACATGCTATATATTTTAGTGTACATTGCACCTTTTAGATAGAATAAAGCATTATGCGATTTATATTTTCTACAGGATTCTAATGAGTGTGCACTGTATGGCAATGTTTTATTCTATATCCAAGCTAAAACAGAACAAAAATAGTTTTCCTGGTTAAAGAGACCAAAATATGGATACACTATTCCAAGTGGGGCATACCAGAAATTTATACAGTTAATAACTACCTTCTTTTCCTTCAAGTCAAAAGTTCGCCAGACTATTCTTAGTTTTTTTTTTTTTTTTTAAACTGCAGCACCCACTTGTGCAACTTTCAGGAGAGTGCTGGATTCTAACTCCAAGGTCCTTTTTTTTTTCATCAATATGCTGCAAGGCAGTGCTGTAGATTAGGTAGAGGTGATGTGCTTTGCTATGCCCCTCCATGCTAGGTCTTCCATTTTTTTACATTAAAAAGTATTTACGATTCTGACTGTTCAAAAATGTAAATTCACTGTCATATTTATGGATCAATCTAACTTAATGGTCTGAATCAAACAAATCTTCATTTAGCTTGTTTTTCAATCTGTGCACCTATGAAACCCAACCAAACCATCCTAAGAAATGGAATTATCCTCATGAACGTTGAAAACAAAATTATCCATTTCGAAGTAAAATTACACAGAATTCCCAATAGTCCTCATAAGAACTAGAAGTTAATTTTACTCTTGTTTTTATTTATAGGCCTTATATTTCATCTAAGAGTATTTTTATCGATGATAACTAGTTTCATGATCTTTTGATTTCATGTTCACAGTTATTTCAAGTAATGATAAAGCTTAGTTTGAAGAGAATGTTACTTGATGGTTCCAGAAATTTCAAGTTGAAGGACTGAATGTTTTTGAGTGAACTTTCTGAAGTAACTCTTCAGTGCAAAGTATGACCAGTATTTAAAAAGATCCCCATTGCACCAATGCAGAATGTCAATGCCCTGATTGTCATGATCCTGTTCAATATGACCTTCAGTATTCTTGCCTTAGAGAGCATCAGTGGATCTTGTTTGGAGTTAACTTTTCATATTAATTTAAAACCTAACATTTATGTTTTAGTAGGCAGTGGTGATGTAACAGAAGCTCAGGCAGTGATTTTAAGTCAGGCTATTGGCCGTGTGAAGGAAGCTGTGACTCGCTTAAGTACTGAACACAGAGATCTTCACTCTTCTGTCTCAAAAGTTGGCAAAGCCATTGATAAGGTAAGCAGACTAATTTGTATGACTAAGTTTTAGATCCATTTAATCTTCTAAACATACCATTAAAATACAGTACAATAAAATTGTAAATTATATTGTTTAACTCGAGTCATTGCTTTTCAGAATTTTACAGCAGACTTTGGCTGTATTAGCAATGATACAGTATTTAGTGGCGAAAAACAGCAGCTTGTGAATGAAGTAATTTGTCAACATTTCTTTCGGGAAGGACTATTAGACATTGCTGAGGAATTTATTAGTGTAAGTATATTTTTACACTATTATACATATTTATTTATATATACTGGTACTGTACTATACATGGTAATTAAATAATCAACAAAATTCATCAGTAGAAAAGAAAACTAGTTACTGTGCAGTAAACTGATGGAAGGCTGAATTACAAAATAATAAGAGAAATTGCTTAAATGAAGCAACCAGATATAGGCTTAGTTGGTGATTAAGGGTTGGCTGAGAAGGCAAGAGGAAGGAAAAAGAATAGTTCTGTGTAATAATAAAGCATACTATACTGTACAATACAGTGTATGTTGTAAAACTCCATCTTCTGCTACTTTTTACTTGAACATATACCTGCATGCCATTGTACTAGAGATTTCTGCTTATGTAAAATTTTTATCTCTATTATTTTCACAAGAAATGACTAAATTATGTACCCACAGCTTGTCAACATATACACATGGTTATAACTCATAATTTGTCTTTAGAAGAGAACAAAGTTTCTTGCCTGTCCATAGGTACATTAAAAGTTCCCAAAATTTTGGCTACTGTATGACATACCTAACTTCCTGTTAACCCACAGGAGACTGGACTTGAATTGCAGGAAGAATCTCGAGAACCATTTTTCGAACTTAATCGAATACTTGCAGCTCTAAAGGCACGAGATTTAGGCCCAGCTCTTCAGTGGGCTGAAGAAAATAGAGAAAAGTTAAGGTCGCAGGTAAGTAATCTTTCAGTTAACTATGCTAAGTTATTTCATGAAGCGCTTATTTCATGCATGAATTTCTATGTTTTCATTATGCTGTAGCTAATTAGTTAAAATTTCTGGAAATTTAAATTTTAAATTTGTTATTTACAATCTTTTGCTTGGATCTATCCACACAATTAGTCAATCTAAGCTATTTTATTATACTCTATTTAACTGTACTTAGACACAAAAATAGAAGTACAATGTGTATTAATGCAAAGTTTAAACATTTATTTTCCCATACAGAACAGCAGTTTGGAATTCAAGTTACACCGACTGGCATACATAAATTTAATCAAAGAAGGGCCACTCAGTGTCCCACAGGCCATTGAATATGCCAGAGTCCACTTTACACCATTTGTATTCCAGCATGAGAAAGGTAATAAAATAATTGCTCATACAGGTATAGCAAATTATGATTACGTTATTGTACGTACCTTAAATTTGGCATTAATGTATATTAATATGTAATGTTTTTTCAATTACCAGTCACAGATTCAACACATAAATGAAGTCTGGGGTGATTGGGATGTGCAGTAATGCATGAATATAACTCAAAATATTTGTAAAATAGAATAATGGAGTGTGGGACCTGACACACTGCCGAGAATGTAGACGACTCTAGGATTGCTGCACTAAGACAAAATTTATCCATTCACTTTGAAACTTGGAAAAAAGGGCTTATGTGATTCTGTACACGTGTACTAGAGTGTTGGTAGTTACCACATGTATACAACATAATTTATTGTACACATTCATCAGAGCCTAACCTAGGTGGTGGAACATCAAATTGACATCCCAGAAAACATCTTTCTGAACACATTGTTCTGCCACACACATTTTGTCCCTTCCTACCTTGCATTCACTATGCTTTGAGTGTTGTTCTCTTTCTTAGTCTCTCTCTAATGTGGTGAGGAAATATCCAATGAACCTAGGATTGCAGTAGGTGGGGATGGTAATGGTTATTCATAACTGATGAATTAGGTTAATTCAAGATTCCCATTGGCTGTCAAATGTAATGTTAGTATGAATTCTGGAAGGGTTTGTACTTATAAACAAACAGTTTGAGCATCAGTGTATTCTGGCTGGATGATATCGTGTCCAATAACCTCAATGCACCATATATGACAGTGATTCTGTATTCTGTAGCACAGGTGCCATATATTGCTTGTGATTAGGGCACATTAAAGCCTTTAGGAGTGGTAAAATAACATGCTCAAAAAGGTGCTTTTCACAAGCTCATAGCTTGTTTTCTTGATGAATGGGATACACTGTATCCCATTCAATCAAACTCTGTATCTTCAATTACATTAAATATAGATACATACATTTCTTTATTACTATGTCTTGTGTGAGATTGGGCTGCAGAGGCAGTGACTTCTGAAACTAGATCAAGGTATATCTTTTTTTACCATTATTTTTATCCTATCAAACTGAACATCAAGCAGTTTATTTTCTACTTTTCAGTAATTCAAAGTCTCATGGGATGTCTGCTGTATGTGAAAGGAGGGTTGGAAAGCTCCCCTTATGCAGATCTCCTTAGTCCACACCAGTGGTCAGAAATTTGTGACATCTTCACCCGTGATGCTTGTGCTCTTCTTGGTCTTTCTGTCGACAGTTCATTAGCTGTGTGGTAAGTGTTACTTTGGTATTTTATTCAGGAAATACTTGCCTTTCCTTTTGGTTTGATAATGTCATAAATCTTGTCAGATCATAAATTAACCCACAAGAAATGTTAGTATGATGGATGAAAAATGGCTACCTACACAAATTCAGATTATACAGTATTTAGGCTCATTTTATGAATTCTCATTGAAGTCTTATTAAGAGCTTTGGAAGTCCTCAAAGTTCCAGTCCTTTTCTAAAAAGATACAACAATTTATTATGAGTATAGACTTCAGTTCTATCATTTCAGCTTAATGTCTTATGTTCATAGTTGCTTATTATCGATAATTTAAACCTCAGTGCGGTAATCATCATGTATTGATCGACTGGTGCAATGCAGTTATTGTCACATAAAGAGCTACGTCTTGAGTCAAGTGTTTGAATACCAATGATGCTCATATGATTCCAATAGCTCATTGGTGTCTCCCAACAGTCATTAGTGGCCACAAAATAATTTGGAGTCAGGCAGACTTATCTTCTGGTACCTCATCAACATTTGATGACTGCACTTACCTGGGTAACAAGCAGATCTTCACTGTATGGTTCTGTATTTATTTTGGTATTCTTATTTTTGCATACAAATTTCTTACCTTTGAATACATTTCATATAAAAATAAATGACAAAATATTTTTTTGTTTGGTTTGGCTCCCATCAGTGTATGCTGGTGGTTTTTCTTGGGTGCTGTGGTTGAAATTAGATCCTCAGACTCCACTGCTTCTGTTGAGGACATGATTCTCATCCTAATATCTGATAGGTGCTCGTAAATCATAGAGCCTGGTGTAGTTCGTAATACATGAGCTAGTCAGGTGGGTAATTCAGGGAGATACCAAGGGATTCACCAGTAAGATACGTTTCATTACATTCAGTGTTGGATTTCTGTTTTTCATGAAGTTTTATGATGGCAGCACTAGTTATAAAAATAGCACCAATCTTATCATGAATATTTAGTTTGTTGCTAAAAAGTTGAATCTAAAGCTCAGTCTTGTTTCTAAAAGTGTTACCAAATGTTTGTTTTATTAAGGACTCTGTTGCATGCAAATATAATTTGTGGCATTTAACATCACTTTCTTTGAAATGTTATTTCTGCATGGATGTTTATGTATAGCTTCTGGGCTGGCCCCCTCAATAGCATTGGTATTGTCAAGCCTAAGGCTTGTGCCAGGCCTTTGAGACTTGCATTGATCTACTGGGAGCCAGGACCAGAATCTGGCGCTCTCTAAAGTGAGAAAACCAAAATAAAGGTTAGATGAAACAAAATAAATTATTGCTTGAAAGAAATGAAATTGAGGAAAACAAAACATACAAAAATTTGCTTTGGATGAAACTTTTTTGACCTAATGTGCCCGGCCACCACTAGATGATGGGCTAGTTCATCACCTACCTTGCTTCACTCACTCTCCTGGTTATGAGGGTCAGCTGCCCTTTGCTGGGACACTTTCACAATTTCTTGTCACAGGGGAAGTGAAGTTGGCTATCACTGGAACTTTATCTTGTTTTCACAAAATTTAATTACAGTATATCAGCTTTTTTACCTTTCTGGTTGACTTCCTCAGCTCTCCATGTCTTGAGAAGAGAGCCAGATTCTGCTCCGCATTTTTTTTAGTGAATTTTCTGCCTTTACTTTTTTCCCCTACCACAGACATGGCCACACATTTACAATGCTAACCAACATATATACATTTTCATCTGTCCTCCATGGACAGGGTTGGAGATCTGTTGAACATATAGTTCAGTGATTTATTGAACAATCAACCACAGAAGGTGATTCCAGTGCATATAAAATGCTAATTTAACCTACATACAGAAATACATAAATACACAGATTTACGTCTGCCCTACATAAACAGTGTTTGAGGTGTCTTGATAGGAAAGCATGGATTTCAAAGGCCTTCCACTATCCTTAGGCTTAATGGCACCAGCACATAAGCACTGATGGGTTACCGAGACCCTGCCAGAAAATGATATTTATTACATTCACTGCATAATTTATGCATATATGGAGCATTAAAGTTAAGGTTAATTTTTCTGTAAGCCTAAATTCAGAGTCACCCTGATTGTTACAGAATTTATTCATTTCACATCACATTTAAGTTAGGCTAGGAACAGTCGATAAACTTGAATTTTGAATTAAGCTTTTAAAAGGGAGGATGTAGTTAAGAATTTTGGTTTGCAGTAATTATATAAAATCAAGAACAAATATCATAAAAAGTCTGAAATAGAGTACTGTACTAGAGATTATAACCATTCTCACTAATGACTTTTTTTTCCATTCAGTGTAAATGCAGGATGCACAGCCCTTCCAGTTCTTCTGAACATTAAACAGGTCATGCAACAACGGGCAGTTCACAATATGTGGAATACAAAAGAGGAATTACCAGTAAGTTTAACCTTAAATACTAGTTTAGTTACATATTTCTCTAGTCTACCAATATGTGATTATTTAATTTGTATTTGTATAATCCAGTTTGTAACTATGGCATTTTCGTATGTGTTTAATTTCATTTATTTTTCCGTCATTGCTTTTTTCTCTCCATTTATGTTTTTATTCAACCCGTCCTCTTAAAAATAACGTCGCTTTTCACTTGTATGTGCTCTATGGCCAAAAATGAATGTAATTTGAAATGGAATCGACTCAGAAAAGTGATGTACTGTCCCGTTTTCTGTTTGAGTCGTCTGGCTTACTCGGTAAGGTTAGGAGAGGAAACTTTCAATTAATGTTTTTCATGACTTTTGAAACTTTAAGAGAATTTCCTGCCCACTTGACCTACCAGAGGACTCTTAACTTACTGTTTTGGAAAAAAAAATTCAAAATTTATTTTAATTTTTTTCATTTTCAAATTACAGTACTGTACGTCTGTTTTCGGTCATACAGACAAACGACCAAATTCAGACGTAATTTGTAACAGGACAGGTTGTTTTATTACCATATTTTTGCTTTCTCATTTCCACTTTATTTTCCTTACTAGATAGGAAAGTTGAGAAAATTAGCATGCTCTATAGTAAATCCTTCAAACTATAGCAAAAACTTCCAGATACTATTTTGGGCATCAGACTACATTATATCATGTAATTGTAGTCGTTCATATCAATTAGTGCAAAATTATGTGGTATGATAAAAAAGTAATAAGAGGAGTATCTGAAAGTATATCAGACCACATGATAAAGTTTGAAAGGTAAATTGAGGATGCGTGTCTAGAAAGATGTAAAAGAATGAAAATTGGGAGGTTAATGCTTCCACTGTGGACTTCACTTATTTGTAATTTTGTGAGTGTCTTGGAAGGGACTAGGATAAGTATTTTGGATGGGATAAAGAGGAAAGGAATATTGCCCAACCAATTGGATTGTCGGGGATTGAATGCCAGCCTGCATGAAGCAAGACTGTTGATCTTCCTCCCATACATGGTATGGGCAGTAGAGCAACTTGCCTCCTCACATACACACTACAGGAACACTGTTTCTGGAGTGCATATGGGAGGAGGGAAGAAAACTGATGGTTATATAGTGGCTGGCGAAGGGACACGTTTTATTACAAAGTGGCTAAATATTTTATTTTATTTTATTAAAAGCATTCAACAAATGAATTTATCTAAGCTCTCCAAGCTTAAATAAAGAAGAAGAAATACATTGAAATTAACTCAGAAATATATAAAAAAGAAAGTAAGGAAAGTTAGTGAATAAAATACTTAAGGTTTTGTTAACTATGTTTTGTTAATGGTAGAGCAACGGATACATATCTGTCATCGAGTGAGGGACCAATTTACATGTTATGGGTTCCATTCAGGATTTCGAGGGGACAGGATGGAAGGGAGATGAAGTAAGGTTGTTCAGTTGTTAATTGAACAGTTTTATGCCTGCCTGCCTACCTACCTGATCAATCTTGTCTTGCCTTATCAGTCCCGCCTGCCCGATTCCTCCAATTTACCTGATCTCTCCATATGTCCTTTATACCCACCTGCCTGCCCGATACCTCCCTCCCACCCACCCAATCACTCCTGTCTGTCTGATCCTTTCATAAATCCCTTATGCCTGTTCCACCACAATACCCATCACTTGTCTACCCAACACCCCACTCGTGTCTGCCCACTCTCTCATGCATGCCCGTCCAATACCTCCCACCTCCTGATTCCTCCCCATCAACTCAACTCCTAATCCCTCTTTAATATTCCTGAATGCCTCTCTCACTGAAAACCCAATCTTAGTATTGAAGTGTACATACAGCACAGTATTATAACCATACAGTATTCTACTATCACTAGGTTAAGAAGAACAGCCCGAGCTTCATTAGGGTTGGAAAATACTACATTTTGTTTTGTACTTTGATACATTACAATAATACTCATATTCCAAAATGATTGTATATATAATATTTCTTTCTCTAAATATGCATCAACATGTATTGTGTCACTTGCTTTAAGAAAAAAGGAATGGTACATAGCCAAGAAAGAGCAAACTTCATGAAATCTGGACTGATATAATCCAGATTTTTTTGGTTCAGCTGTATCAAGAAAATTGAAAAATTCATGATCTTTCAAGTTACCAGAATCAGAGTTGCATGTATCATGGCATGGCATTACTTAAACTAATGTATCTTTTTATTTTTTAAAAAATTTCAGATTGAAATTGACTTGGGCCCATCTTCACGCTATCATTCAATATTTGCTTGCCCAATTCTACGTCAGCAGTCAACAGAGAACAATCCTCCTATGAGGCTTATTTGTGGCCATGTGATTTCAAGGGATGCTCTTAATAAACTCACAACGAGTGCCAAGTAAGTCTAGGAATTTCGCGGAATAAAGTACTTGTTTACATATTTGCTTAAGTTATTGTATATGCAATGCAATTATATTAGAACAAGCTTTATAAAATTCTGAGATCTTTCATTGGGTCAGTGTGGAGGCTCCAAAATTCAATACTCCTGTAGCAATATTTCTTTATATAGTTTGATATCCATGGCCTTGTAACTAAAGCCTCTCTGCTGCAGCCAAGTACCATTTATTTGTTGAATATCAAATTCTTTATCAGAAATTTTGTTCTTAAGTTTTATTCTTTTACAGATTGAAGTGTCCATACTGCCCTGTTGAACAAAATCCTGCAGACGCTGTTCAGATCTTCTTTTAATCTTTGCTGTCTTTTGAAAATTGAAAGTGCATATACAGTATACAGAGTTTATGGATATTTAGAGTATTTAATTTTTTCTTTCATAGATATTCAGAAAGCTCACAAAATTGATACAATATATGACAACTCATATTCATTATAGTAGCATAGATGTTAGTTAGCTTCATTTTTTTGATTGCCTTTACAGTTTGCAAATACAGTACACTTTTAGAGAAGTGTTTTGGTCATAAAATATTAGTGCAATATAAATAGCACTAAAAAAAAATTTAATACAATTTTAAGTTAAAACTTGGTGAAAGTTACAGATGTAATGTTTATTGTGAGTAATCAATATTAGGAGGTATTATAGAATATTATATAAAAAAGGGACTTCCTGTATATTTAAAGGAAGAGATCATATTCTTCAATAAAAGCAGAAGGACAGTTCATTTAGTGTGCATCATTTTGGCCTGACAGAAATTATGCTAAGTAATATAGCATTTTGTTAGGAATTTTACTGTACACAGTGTATTCATTCCCTTAATGATACCGACTTTGTACACACCGAATAGTAGAATAAATATTTAACCGATGGTATGAGGAGTATAAACAGTTTCTACAACCTTAAGAATGCCTTTCCTGCGATTATAATTGTGTATTTTTTCTAATAGGAAGAAATTGTTTTGCTAATAAAATCTAAATATTTTTTATAAGTTCAATAATTAAGCAAAATTTGCATTAGCTGGATTGAGTGGCAATTACCTGAATAACTCATCACTCATGTTTATCATGTTACTATAGTGAATAAATATAATTTCCAGTGCATTTTTCAAGGAAAGCCCTTTCAGTAGCTTTCACCCCGCCCTGGAACCATTAAGTCTAAAGATCATGTCTGGGCTGACAGCCACTCTGACCTGCTAGAACTACTGTAGAATGTAGCTCTAAAGTGAGAGAAGCTCAAGGATCAAATATGTAATCACCTAGTCAGCTTTCCTCAGTTTTGGAAAGACAAAACTCACTGCTTGAAATAAATAAATGATAGACAAAAATATGGCATATGACAGTTTCCAATTAAGAGGACTGGTTGAGGAAAATTGCCCTCACAGCCACAGAATAGACAAACATGGGGAATATGATCACTACATACTGGGAGAGGATATTCCTTCATGGACCTTAAGTGTCTAGCTGGTCCACTAAACATTACTCTGTTCAGCATGCAGCAGATGAGTGTAACTCATATGCTGACTTCAGTAAGATTAGGTCGAATGTTTTTAACAATCTTTTCTGCATTGTTATATCTGTGGTAACTTTATTTGGTTTGTGAGTCTGTATAGTCAAATAATGTTCCAGTAGCATGTTTGTCATTTTTCCACAATGCTAACATTTCCTCCCTTCTGGAACTCACAAGCCTATTTCCCATACACATGGGTATCCAAGCCTGATGCAGTGCAAGTGCATTTCTGTTCTTCCAGTTGTCCCACTCTTCATCAAAAAGTGGTTCATAGTTAGTTGTCCCACTCTTGCAGCTGCTGCAACATGGTCACTGTACATCTTCTGCATCACTTCTTGCTCTCTCTATTTTCTTAAATAATTCCTATCGAAATAGAGGAGTTCCAATCAAATGGATGCCAATGAAACAGATGTCTAGATGCAAAAGGGGTAATCAAATCTTGCTGTGTGACCAGTTTCTGCAGATACCCAATCTATTGGACCAGTTTCTGCAGATACCCAATCTATTAGAGGGATGGTCCTCTAATCCCAGTATGCATGAAATGGGCATAAAGTTTACAACATTACAATGCAAATTAAGTAACACTATTTATTATTCAACAATAACCAATAATAATTGTTTGGAATACATTGACTTTATTGTTTTCCTTTGGAGACATTTCATATCACACAACACATTCTCTTACTTCATATTTTCTTAAGACACCACACACTCCCATTCACCGAGTAAACAAAAAAAACATACAACTTATTGCAAGCTTTAAATAATAATTCAAATTAGACAAACATGAAAATTTAATAATAGAGTAAACAATTGTACTCTACACCTAGAGTACATACCAATGTGATACTCGCACTAAGCAGTTGTCACATTGGTGCTTCCCTATCGGCGACTTTTCTATCAATGGGAATGAGGTGAAATCTAACTCTTCTTAAACCTCACCTGCTAGCCATTTATATCTGACACTTAATAAATACAGTCTCCGTGGTGTAGTGGTAAGACACTTGCCTGGCGTTCTGCGAGCGCTATGTCATGGGTTCGTATCCTGGCCGGGGAGGATTTACTGGGCGCAATTCCTTGACTGTAGCCTCTGTTTAACGCAACAGTAAAATGTGTACTTGGATGAAAAAACGATTCTTCGCGGTGGGGATCGTATTCCAGGGACCTGCCCGAAATGCTACGCGTACTAGTGGCTGTACAAGAATGTAACAACTCTTGTATATATCTCAAAAAAAAAAAAAACCTTTTCATTCTAGTTTCATTATACTGTACAGTGGAACCTCGGTTGACAACCGTCCCTCTATATAAATTTTTTGGGTTACAATCCCAATTTCTTCGTAAAATTTGACTCAGTTGGTGACCTTCATCTCGCTTGGCGACGAGTTTGTTGATACACATATAGGTCGACGAGTGTGTGGTTGCTGGAACAGGCGAGGCATGCTTCAGTTTACCAGTGCTTCCTGCCTAGTAACGATCGCGCTTGAATTCTTTGTAAAGAATTAAATTGTTTTTCTGCTTTTTTGGTTTTTGAACATAAAAGTATTTATTATCTATCATGCCATGGATCTCTGAAAGCATTTCAGAGGTCATTTGTGAAAAAGCAAGTCTATTGCATAAAGATCTCACAAAGAAAACCCCTGGAATGAATGATGCTGATATGAAAGCATTTAAGGCAAGCAGCGGGGTTGGTTTGAGAAATTTAGAAAAGAATTGGTATTTATAGTGTAGTGAGGCATGGGGAAAAAACAAATGTCTATATGTATTATTATTATTATGTATGAAATGTATTTTGAAGTTAATATTTTTGGGAGTGTGGAACAGATTAATTAAATTTACATTATTTCTTATGGGAAAATTGTTTCGGTTTGTGAATTTTCGGTTTACAACCCATCTCTGGAAATGGATTAAATATGAAAGCGAAGCTACCACTGTATTAGCTTTTTTTAGTTGTGGAAATGGATTTGACAACGTCTTCATTTAATACATTCTGCTTGTCAATCACCTATACAGGGTATGAAAATTTTTTTGCATCTCTAAGACTCGATTTGCATGTCCCATTTCTACTGATGTCCCCTTGTATTACACTACCTCCTTTTAGCAACTAAGAAATTAAGAGGAACATTTTTGACATTTATATATGTACCACTAAGATGCACAAATTAATTAAAATGAATTTAAAATTAATATTAAGCACATTGTATACAAAAAATAAAACGTACAATAATAGACATAAGTCAATCTTGCTTTATGCATACAATGTGACTTCACTCAAACTTAGTGGGATGGAGCAAAGTTGATGTATTGAGGAGTTCATATGATTCAGCAGGCCTTGACCACATCCCAGAGACAATGTTTTTCTCCACTGTATATACAGTCATGCCTTATGATAACTGCACTTTTAACTCTTAATGTGGATTCGTTTATCATCCATTGATCTCCCAGGCTAATGTGGTTATCATAATTTGTTAATTGTTTTATTAATGTTTGGTTTGTATACCCATGTTAATATGGATATAATACATTTATATGACTGTAATGAAGCTAACCAAGACCCACAAGGAAATTATGTCGTCGTTTTTAATTGCTTATTATGCGATGAAATCATGGCCTTTGGTCTTTCCCGCCAGTGTTTGAATCTATTTTTCGATGACGTTCTCAGACAGAATGCAACCCACTCCTTTGCTACTACTGACTAAATAATTAATTTTATTTTCATATGAAATATATTCAATCACTGATACAAAACATATACGGGTATTGCCATATGATGATTGCATTGCACTAGATGATCAACACATGATGACCACCTCATTTTGAGGGTCAAGTAAAAAAACAAATACAATATGCAGGAAGGAAGTGTATTGAAACCCTTATAAGGCTCTGCTTTCAATACAATTAGGCAAGAACAAACCCATACTGGCAAACCTTCACCTCCAATACGACTAAAAATTTCACAGAAAATACAATAGGCAATCTTCATTTTAGAGTAGAATACAATAGAGGAAGTAAATATATTATAATTATAAATTGAAGGCCTTTATTGTCAAACATGGAATGTTTAAAATTATTTTGCATTTATCTCTATTAGCATGGAGAGGAAACTTTCCTCTCAAAAGATGTTAAAAATTCTAAAAACTTTATTGTGTAATATTAATTTTTGCTATAAAAATTATATATAAGGCTTTTATTTCTAGCCAAAAATATTAAATGTTCTTAATGTTCTTAATGACTTCCAAGTTCATTTTTAAGAAGCCCCAATCTTCAGTAGCTCCCAGGTCCTTATGCACTGGTACCGCTAAACAAAAGAATCATGCCAGGCCTCAGACTCCCACTGACCTATTGAGTGCCAAAATCAAAATCTAGTTCCCATACCCGATGGTCCTGGTGGCAGCAAAAGGGATGGAACTGAAGAAATTGGTATGGTGTTCAGAGCTAGATCCTGCACAGAATATACATAAGCTAATGATGGATGATTTAAGAACTCTCAGCCACTAACGAGCATCCAAGCTGAGCACAAACACTGGTGGATGGGCGAGGAACAGCCGAATGAGAATCCCAGATCTGACCCAGCCAAGTCCAAACCTGCAATGGAACCAAATGGGACTTTTGCCAATTCACCAGAAACCCAAACCTGGCGAGCTGGTAAAGAACCAGATTCCTGGCTTGCAGACACTCGGACTAGCTGGAAACCCAAACCTGCCAGTCCAGTTAGACTAAGATATGAGCCCACTAACACCCGAAAGCAACAAACACAAGCCAACCTGGTGAACGTCTTGGAATCCAGTTGAATGGGGAACCCAGAAGCAGTAAGTTGATAGCCCACCACAAAACCTAACCAGTCCCTAAATTGGGGAGGAACATGCATATGCAAAATGCATCTTGTAAGTCTAGGAACATCATCCAGGAATCCACCTGCAGCACCAGACAGACCCAGTCTAAGGTGGTCATGACAAAAATTGAACAGGGAATGAAGTGATTCAAACCTGAAAGGTTGAGAATGTACCATATGTCCGACAAGTCCAGCTTGGGGACCGGGAAAAACTAGGACCCTCACCGCAGAGCAGGGGTTAACCTGACCACCCCAGCATCCAGCCACAAAATCACTCAGGAGGGGTTGAAGACCACCTCTATTGTAGGTCCTGGAACACGTACCGAAAGGCCCACTCATTGTCAGACCAAGAAATGGCAAAATGGGCCAAACATCGACCAGGCCACAGCACCATCAAAGGGGCAAATCATGTAAGAGCTGACCTGAAGAACCAGGCCAAATGCATGACAGCGACACTGATCAGAAGGAAAGCTGAAGAAAGTGCAATGGCTCAGGAATCTGACTCCTCCAGAAGCCGCCTTCTGACCAACAACAGGCAAGAGCCTGCCCTGAAACTTTCACCCTCAAGCAGCGGGGACAGAAGCCTGCTGCAAAAGTAGGCGACCTAGTGGCTGAAAAGTCACTTGGTTTTTTGGTGGCCACTTCAATGGCCACTGCAGTGTGGTTACTCGGCCACCCTGCAGCTGAAAGAAACAAAGACACAGCATTCTTGAGAAACAAAAGGCAAAAAAGGGGAGGAGGATAACAGGAATAATGACCAAGCTGAATCTAAGGCACAGATCAGTACGGTCTTCTGGCAAGACAGATAAAAGAAGTAGAATCAAGCCACTGCCACCTGAAGGAGAGAAGCAAGCAACTTTGGCAGCACCCCAAAGGCCCCAGCTGCAGGTAAAAATGCTGCAATTGCGTGCACACCAGTCAAGCTATCCAAGCCAGCTCAGAGCTGACTGGGGAACAGCTCCACAACATCCCAAACATGCAAAAACTAGTCAAATGTGCAAAGAACCCTGTGATCCTCACCATTTAGCAAGCACCAGGGAGCCACCAGCAGGAACCATCCCAGAAAATTATATCAAATATACCAATGATTGTTAAAAATGTTTGTTTTCCACTGCTAAAATAACTGTACCCATACCAACCCTGTGAGCTTGCCATGCGTTTCTATCCTTTTGAATGATACAAAAAGTTGACACATTGTTGACACAATATTCACACATTTGTAGAATATTCCTTGTTAAAAAAATTTGTTTAATAAAAATCTAGCTAATACTGTATTTAGTCAACAAGATGAACAAAGCAGCAGCAATCAACCTGAGGTGCTAATGACCCAAGCTATGATTTGATGAGTGAAAATGAGATTATTCAGAGCATTAATGGTGATGTAGGGGGATGGAGAGTAAAAGGACACTACACCATAAAATTACTAGCTACAAATAAAATATGAAAATGTACATTCTTGCTTAATCTAAGAGGAGTAATGTTTGACAAGTGTACAGTGTTAGTGGAAAAAGTATAAATGAAATAGTCAACAAGTTGAAAAGCCCACATCGAAAGTCAAAGGCTACATCTATATATGGATGACTACAGTATTACATTCTGTGCAACTAAGTGAAGCATTACTTGAAAATGATGTTTATACCTGAAGCACAAAATTTACACTTATAACCCCAAAAATAACTTTAAGAGAAAACAAAGTATTATGTGTTGCTGAACAAGACCCCAAAAAGGTCAGACCATTTATGTTTAGGCAAGACAAGAGGCTGGGCTGTTATAGTGTTAAAATTATCACAAAATTAATTTATTTTGTATTTGTATATAGTACAGTACATAAGAGTGAACACTGGTAAAAATTTGTGCACCAAATTTATAATTTGATGCCCTATCTGGATAGAAACTTAATTATGAATGTAGTACATTGCATCTGCAGCTCTACTAAAAGTGACTTTGTGATAACATATTCTTGCATACTGTGCCTAAGCATACAAAATGTAAATCCACCTTGTTGCTTAGGGGAACAAACAAAAATTTTAACAAATTAATTCTAGTGAATAATTTGAACTATACCCGAACATGTTTGGACAATGAAGGATTTCGATAGAGCGAGGTCGCACTGTATTTCATATATAATATGGAATAATCACTGGGCAAATATTTAGGCCAATATTATTTGTCTATTTTTTAACACCAATTAAATTTAATTTTTTTAATTATATACAAAATAATTATTTTACTTTTTTTTTTTTGCATATACTGTACAGCTCACTCGAACTGCAAATAATGTCACAACAAATCTACTTAATTCAATAATATCAGTTACAAGTGTACAATGTCTGAAACACTTCAAAGGGAAACATAATTAAATATGACTTGAGAACACTAACCACATTCAAGAATTACTGTACTTAACATTATCTAGGCTCTGTATGAATCTATACAAAAGCATTAGTGATCTTAAGTAATGTTTATTTAAGTTTCCTATTATATAAAGAATATTATTATTGTACTTTGCCTCTACTCTTCATGCTGATGTGCAGACATGGTGGTTAACTTGTTCTTGTATGAAGGCCATCGGCAGGTTGGGCAATGGTGATTATCTTTTAAGAGCCATTCTGTGATGCAAGAATGGTGATAGTTGTGTCCGCAAGGAAGACCACAAAGTACTGCAGACCATCGATATCGCCCAAGACATATTGCACAAATGCGGCTCTCTATAGAATGTGAGGGTGCTGTCCATTTAAGTTCAGTAAGCCTTTGAGGAGACAGCAACCATCTTGTTGGACTTCTGATCCTATTTGATTCTTTGACAGTGGCATCAGAGTTTTGCTGCTTCCTTGTCTTGCAGCAGTTCTCACACACTTTTAACAGCCTTTCATATGTCACATTTTGATGACCTCTGTCATCAGTCTTACGATATCTCAGGTACTGTCTCTCTAATTTTCGTTTTAGAATAGCACATCTATGACACACATATATTTCCTTTACTGTAGTCCACAGGCCACATAGCCTACAATTATCATCCTGACAACATGTGTGTGTGTCTAATAAAGTATCATTCTCATTCTCACTTACACTGTCTACATCAGTTTCACTCTCAGATTTTAAATCATCCTCATTTCCCCACCCATCATATCTCCACATAGGAAGGTCTTTCATGTAATCAGTTGGTATTACTGGGTGCAGCCACAAATCAGGAGTGGCTAAACGTTCGATTAGGAGTTCCATACCTTCCTCTAAGCCTAAATCTTGAGATGGCCTTGGACGGGATAAGGAAGCCATGGGACGGAAGAGGACATTAACTAAATAAGAATCCATAGGAAACACAGCCCACCAACTAGTATCCATTTCCTCCTGTTCTGTATTCCCTCTCTTCAATAAAAGATGCCAAGCCAAAGTAATAAAACTGAATATAACAACTGATAACCAAATAATTGTAGGATGACTTTCTACCATTAGCCAATGATATCTCATCTGACCCAAAAGCCATGTGGAATTGAAAGAAGTAATTAACCATGCCCCAGACTGCAACATGCTATTCACCATAGAAAATTTTAACAATGCAGTGACAGCAAGCCAGAGCAGGAACACTATAACATTAAAAACAAGAACTCTCACAAAAGTGCGCACAATATGCTTCCAAGCTCTGATTCTGATATCCAGGAAGTAAAAAAAGTCTGCCACTGCTAACAAATTTGCCATGATGAGAGAAACAAGGAATGCATCATTCATATGTGGTTGTAATGTACAAATATAGGAATTTAAAGCTGGGCGAGTTAGGGGCTCCCCTTTTCTTCCACCATACGATGTCACCCCTTCAGAGGTCACGACAGCTATGCTGGGCACACTTAGACCAGATTTCTTCAGCAGGTGAGATACCTGTAAAGCAGGCACAAATTAATTTCTTAATACCATATGCACATTTCATTTAAAGTAGACTCATCTCCTCAAATATTAAAAACAATTAGCACTTTCTAATCTACCATTCACAAACCATAATTAGAACTTTTTTCTACAACTGCCAATATAAAAAATTATAATTTTACACACACCTTTAACTACTCAAACTTCTTTTTTTTCACACCCAACACTCATTTAATACAGGATGTTATCTCCTGCTGCCTGTCCTGCTCAAACATACTGCCCATAATTCATCCAATCATTGAATGAATTATAATTGAAATTCATTTAATATTAGGGCGCTGTTTCCCTCTCCCCGGGAGGGGGGATCTGCGCAGACAGCGGAGCGGCGGTGATTGTGACGTCATGCTTGTTTGCTCGTTACAGATTGTGGTGTTCTGCTTGATACATTAGTTCGGTTTTTGGTAGCAATTTTAACCAGGTGGAGTTTGTTTTGAGATGCCTACCTTTCTGGGTGCCTAACCCGGTAGATGGCAGACATAGAATACTTCCAACCACATGGGGAGTTTATATAGGCCATTGCTCCTCGTGTCTCTCTGAGGGGGCAAGGTTCTGGCTCGTGGTCCCCAGTAGGCTAGAAATCCAGTCAAATTGACTGATGCCACTGTCTAATACATACATATCAGCCCGGTATAGCTCCAGGGAGCAGAAGGGGCTCTCCACGGAAAAAAGCACAACTATGAAAGTTGTTTTTCATATTCTCTCAAAGCTTCATTTTACGAGTTAACGTATTAGGTTGCCACCTAATGCACTTACTTTAGTGTCACACACATGGAAAAAATACAAAATAAATCAGGGAGGGCTCGCATCAGAGCAGCAGTGTTCTGATAAGAAACTGGAAGATAAATGAAAGAGAGTCAGCCCAGCACCATACAACCTTGATGCAAGCATGGAGTTTTCCATAATACATTTCTGCAAAGACTGAAATATGGACTTGGGTAAGTCTGTGGGTGACAATTTAACCAGTTCTTGCAAGAGCTTATAGTACAAGAAAATATAGTTTAAGGTGTGAGAACTGTCATAATAATACAACTGGACAATGTACAGTATATTGAAAAGACAAAGATGCCAAAACTTAGCCCTAATGAGACTTAGACCTTTCCAAGTGCACCAGCATAATATTTAACTTAAAATTTAGGATTCTATTCTTACAAAATTTTACAAAACACCATAAACACTTGACATGGGGTCCATTGATTATTCCCAGTGACAAGAACCAACAAAGAATCTTTAAAATTAAATCCTGAAAGAGCCAACTGAAACCTAACAGAAAAGAAATTGAACACCTTATCTAATAACATTAAAGTTCCATAGAACATTAGATGGGTAGAGACTGAAAATAAAGCCCCCCGAGTTGCACAAATAGACAGACTGAGAGAGCCGAGCTAAACCTGAGCTGCAAAGAACCCAGAAATACCAACCGATTGGAAGCCAGTGTACCTAGCAGGAGATGCTTTCTTCTTGAAGAGCCAGGTAAAGATGAATAATATGAACACCAACATAGCGAGACATGACTTCTGTTGCAAGATCAAGAATCTCTACAGCGCGCTTCAATCCCAAAAAGCACTTCAAAAAAGGTACCACTGTATATTCAACTAAAATAAATGTGAAATATATCTAATTCTAAACTACTTACCTATCTTTTCTCAGTACATGCCTTCCCACCCTTTGGGGTGGGAAACTGAATAATAAGGATAATGAAAGAAATGATGATTAGGGAAAGGAAGAAATATATAGTTTACATGATTACTGCATACAGTAGATGGAAAATATATAAATTATGGAAATGCTTGTCAAATGGGCATTGTTCTGTAAATGGGAGTCTATGTATTCAGTGAATTAAAAAAAATATCAAGGCCACTCACAATCTTACACATTTACCATGATTATGCTGTGGGCCAGGATAATTTCCATCTACTTTTGCCACATTTCATTCAATAAATCAACAAAATTTGTAAGTGTATTTCTGCATGCATATTAATTAAAATAATATAATTCAGTACAATTTAACTAACCTGTTCTTTTTCTTCCTTCCTGACTGTGAAAGATGCAAGCTTTATGCGAGTTGACAAACGAAGACCAAGAGTAGCTATCAGTAGAGGAGGGCTAAGTAGCTCTGATATATACACTACCCGCGGGACCTAGCGGGAGAGATAAATACGACTAAAACACACAAAATGAGATTATTCCTTATGTAGGCACATATGTATATGCACATAAACATACATACACATATAATCCTGGTGCTTACTATTTCTCTACCAAGGGTGATAAGGAGGTTGATTGGTTGGTAAAGATATATTACAGGACTTTAAAAAAATGAAGTTTTATATTGTAAACTTGTATAGTACAAATAATTACAACCTAAAACACTATAAGATGGATTTACTTTGAGTGAAAAAACAGAACTGACGATAAATTTCTTAAGCATTTCAACATCCTCTAAAGATTGAATACATACCTTTTCTTTGTTTACTTTGGTTACATTAAGCCAAGTGTCTTCCAGTTCCTTCACATCATGAACCACACTAACCCGTGATAATATGTGTCCATACAGCCATGCCAGTACAGACAGAACAGAGAGATGAGTTGTGGATGCAAAGACAATATGTTCGCGGCCAGGAAGTCTACTTGGGCTCCGACCAGTGGTCAGTTTACTAGCGTGTTGGCTTGGTGGTAGAATGAGAACCAGCTGCGGATGACTCCATCCTTGTCTTGCACAGAATCTAAAATCAAATTAACACTAAAGCAAACAAGAAACCAGATACAATTCTTTACTGCATTAAAGTGAAGAATGTAATTTTGAACATCATGTCAGACATCCCTTCCTTTCAAACTGTTGTCACTCAGTCCTCTGCATTTCTATTACTGTACTTATGCCTAGTTCTTTTGTCTACTAGATTTTTCCACGTACCTACTTGGTACATGGAATTATATATATTATGTTATATTGTAATATATATATTATATATATTTTTATTATATTAGTCTGGGGCATCAGTCAATAGGAGTTCAGCCTACTGGGGACCATGAGCCAGAACCTGGCCCTCTCAGAGGCAAGGGAGCAATGGCCCATAGAAACCCCCATGTGGTTGGGGGCATACCATGTCTGCCATCGACCAGGGTTGGCACCCAGAAAGGTAGGCATAACAAAACAAATCCCAGCTGGTAAGAAATTGCGACCAAAAACTGAACAGGTAGGCAAAACTCACCCTACAACTTAAGGAAACAACATGGGGGTTTCTATTGGCCATTGCTCCCTTGCCTTTCTGAGGGGACCAGGTTCTGGCTCATGGTCCCCAGTAGGCTGAACTTCAATTGACTGGTGCCCCAGACTAATATAATACATATCAGCCTGATAGTTCCAGGAAGCCATAGGGGCTCCCCAAAGAAAAAGTGATTTTTCAAAAAATCTGAGACAGATGACATGTTTTAGCATCATTAGAATACTGTCAGAGTATTGATGATATGCTTTAGTGACATGGAACACAAAATATAAATACAGATTTACCAACAACTCTGGCACAAAATCACGCCAGATAAAAGCATAAAGGTGCTAAGACAAATAAGGACAATCATCATCATTCATCACAGCACAAAGGTTAACTGATAATACCACTGGTAGTGTTTGCAGCAGCATATATGGCAATGCACAGCTGGAAAATAAATTGACATTGAAACTATACTACCAGATGATTTGTAGCCCCCCTCCTCAATGCAGGACTAGTTTTAGACATAAGATGCAGGTATGAGTTTTATTTGGCAAAACCACAATGATGAGTATTAGTTAGAGCCCTTTGGGTCTTTTCATTAGAGGATACAGTAACTGTGAATACTTAGCAGCATGAGTGCTAACAAATTAAAAAGATTAAACATACCCTCACATCCATTCTCTTAGGGAACTTCTGGAATGAATACACTCAGATAATAAATTATACAAAATAGCATGATGCTATGCTCTGAGACTTGTTATAGTACAAACACTGATTCCACTTCATAAACTCACCGTCGATCATACTGACAGCTGACAACCGCAGTGCTGACTTGCAGAACTTGTAGCTTAGGCACAAGAGCATGCCAGGATCGATCATCAAGCACACGATGTCCAGCATATTGACCTTCTCCAGGCACCACTTCAATCAGCCATAAAGACTCATTCTCATCATATATCTAAAATTTAATGTCAGTATTTAAGCAATATATATATACATAGTTTTCTATAGTTTGTTTAGATGTACACTGTAATTATTTGTGAAAATTTATGTAGAGCACTTGACACCCCACTTTGTGTAAAACTACTATGGATGTTTTGCTATTGTGATGGTACTACTGTAGTTGCCTGTGATGGTACTAGTTACCCTTGGTAACATTATTTGCCCATGCTGGTTCATTCAACCCTACAAACAGCCTAAAAGTCCCCATTCTAGCATCTCATTCTGCTATACAAACCATTTCTGAAGTCCGCACATGATCAACAGTGCTACTAATGCACCATTTCAGTTGTTTATAGAGGAAAAGTTCCTCACTAATGGCTGATAAAAAGAAAAAGTGTTGGTGGTAGAGCAGTGCCCATGCATCATCACCTTTTACTGCCTCATCTTTTAGTAATTACAGAATAGCTCTCTGCTGTTCAAAAAGCATCAAACCGGACAAACAGAAGAGTTGTATCATTCAAGGTAAATATAAGAAGTGTTTCTTGTATTTTGCTCATCTCATATAGTTTATGTCGTGTATTTTTTTGTTGAATAACTCAATTTATGTACTGTACACTAATTGACAAAAACAGTATTTGAGCATTATTTATAGGTCTACAATGTACAGTAATGTGTACTCCTCTATAACATGTGACACAGCTCAAAGAAAATGTCCTGGAACCCACTCCTTTGCTGCTATTCTGTCTTGGAACATCATTCAGAAAGAGATTCAGACACTAGTGGGAAAGACTAAATTGTGATTTGAAGATGATCGCAGGCCACTAGCACATAATAACTTCATCATTTAGAAAACAATTAAAAATGATAGCTGAATTTTTTAATTGTCTTGGTTAACTCCATCACATTTATATAGATGTAAATGAACTACCTGTATGGTTATAATGCATCACAAAATTACCAAGTATATTCAATTTAATGGTCTTAATTTTTTTCTCACATCAGATTACATTACATGATAACAGAATCATACTGTAATTTTAAATAATGTACATATTATTTACACATTTTAAAAGCATACACAGTACAGTAAACAAAGTTCAGCTTGCAGTATGAATTTAACACAAATATTTTAAATAAAAGTACAGTTGAGTTATATATATACTGTACTGTATATACAGTAGTAAAATTAAAAATGGCATGCAATATAATATACAATGTTAGTTACCTGTTCATAAAAATCTTCATTGCCAAATATTTCAATTGGGTTGTGAGATTCTGTGATTAGTTCTTTTCCAAAAATTTCTCCATACTGAACTGAACCTGAAAAAATGGGGAAGTGTATAAAACATACAAGCTCATGTCCTTAGTTATTAGGTAAACTTTACCTAGAAGCACACTTGGGGACTGCATAAACCAAAAGCCAGAAAAACACCAAAAACAATAAGCACATCAAAACAAGAAACTGCCTGAAAGAAATGAATAACCCTGAGGAAAACAAGGTAAACAACCATTGCTTGCAGAGCAAACATGCCAGCTGTGATGCACCTGATCGTCACTAAGTGGCAGCCCAGTCCTCCAGGGTCATCTCTGCCAGCCAGTAACTTCATTCACGGGCTGTCCAAACAGAAACCACCCCTCCCAACTTCCACAGGCAAGAGGAAAATAGGGCGGGCAATCACCGAACAGCAAAAGAACCCTGCGGATGGCTTATGGAAGATAACCCTAAACCGCAAGGACAGTACTTATAGGGCACCTAGGGAAGGTGACCCTAGGCACATGCAGCCCCAGTACTCAGTGAATTACTCCTGCTTGTTTTGTTTTAGGATTCCTACTTTTCTGGGTGCCTGACCTGGTAGATGGCAGACATAGACTGCTTCCAACCACATGGGGGTGTCTATAGGCCATTGCTCCTCGTGCCTCTCTGAGGGGGCCAGGTTCTGGCTCGTGGTCCCCAGTAGGCCTAGAACTCCATTGATTGACTGTTGCCAGTCTAATATATATACACATCAGCCTGGTATAGCTCTGGGAGCCAAAGGGGTTCTCCACAGAAAGGGTGTCTTTCTCAAATTTTTGTTTTTTTTTCTGTGGTCATAAGAACAATGATACATCACTTCTTTATTTCGAACCAGGAAAGCTATTTGTCCCCTTCACTATATTTTCCATAATGCCAAATATTGTACACTATACTTTTATCTTGCTGTATGTGTATAACTTTACTAAGATGAACCTTATGCTTTTTGTACATTCTTCTTTTCTCAATGCAAGCTCCTAGTAAGTCCCTTATTTATGAATTTCACATGATAATCAAACAAATTATAATAAGGTATCAAAGAAACATATATGCAAACACATACACAAATGAAAATTATTAAACAAAAAAATATTCACCTAGGATACTGTAGTTAAAGACATCAAATAGTTTGTAAATTTGTCATGTCCATTCTTGACAATACTGTACAGTAAATATCCCTCCTGCTTCCTACCTGACTGCTGAAGAAGACTGACAATTTCAGATTTCTCCAGTAGTGCAGCGTATTGAATCCCTCGCATCTCCAGCAATGTCCGAATCTGGACCACTGACAGATTCCTTAGAGGATTTACAATCTGTTAGGAAAAAAAATTTAAACTACAAAATCTTAAATTATATGTTATAAATATGCAAAACAATGACATTAAATTAATTCTGACAATTCAACCGTTGTCAGGGTCACAGTATATGGCATGAGCACATGGAACAGTCTCACCCAGTGTATACTTTCATAATAATTATGAATGAGGAGTTGTATAGAAGCATTTATATTGCCATATAAAAGAAAGAGAAATTTCTAGATCAGCATTATCCTTAACCCTCAAATAATGCATTAATGATTTGCACCATTGTCAGTTCACATAGAGGAAAAAAAATGTAGTTTTCTTCTTACATATTAGACATGTTCTGCATGTCAGAAACACGAACATATACACAAAAACCTGTATGTACCATCATTCAGCTGTAGTGGCTGCTTTAACACAGCAACGAGCAGTGTGGTGCCACACCAATTTTAGCTTCCATTTTCTTAACTTGTGTAGCTGCGGGGAGTGGCCAGAAGGGCTATCTAGTAGTTATTAAATGGGGATATAAGATTAACTGATCTTTTTGGGTGGTAATTCAAGGATGGACTGATTAACACTATTGCCCGCAATAACTGGAATTTTTACAAATATTTTAATTTTGGACGTTCATCATCAAAATTATTTATATCTTTCCAGTGTTCTGACATCAATTTTCATGTTACATCGCTCGTTTTAGTATCAAATTGTTCAGAATATAAAGGCGCGCATTTTAAAACTTGTCCCATAATAATAGTACAATAAATTTTTTTTTTTTTTTTTTTTTTTTTTTTTTTGAGATATATACAAGAGTTGTTACATTCTTGTACAGCCACTAGTACGCGTAGCGTTTCGGGCAGGTCCCTGGAATACGATCCCCTGCCGCGAAGAATCGTTTTTTCATCCAAGTACACATTTTACTGTTGCGTTAAACAGAGGCTACAGTTAAGGAATTGCGCCCAGTAAATCCTCCCCGGCCAGGATACGAACCCATGACATAGCGCTCGCGGAACGCCAGGCGAGTGTCTTACCACTACACCACGGAGACTGCTCAAAATAGAAAATAGAATTTTAACAAATATTTTACAATTTAAAATTTAGACCCAAAAACATATTTATAATCTTTCAAATGTTCTAACATCAAGTTTCGTGTTACATCTTTCATTTTGGTGTCAAATTGTGCGCATTCTAAAGGTGCTTATTTTGAAACTATCCCAAGGTCGATCGGATAAAAAATGAATTTTATACAAATATTTTTGTAGTGGACGCGAGTCCTGTCCACGGCTAGAACTCGAGGACAAAAATGGACGTGATCGGTGTCCAAAGCGAGCAATACTGTTAATCTCCAGCGACTCCTTTCCCGAAATTATATGACAGAATTCTCTGCAAAGTTATTTTAGTGGACTAGATAGGTGGTTAAATTTGCATTTCACTGGTATCCACCATTAACCATTTCAATAAATTACTGTAATCTATTTGCATAATTTAAATTTATTCTTTAAATTTGTTTGAACAGTTTAAAAAGCCAGTGTTGACTGTAATGAAACTCCTTTTTCTGGTGGGTCCTTGGTAGATTGCTGCCTGGCAAGCTCCAGCTAATTCAATCCATACCAAGCCCTTATGAGTCATAAATAAGACTAATGAGGACCAGAGGCCAAAACCTGCCCCTCCCCCCTCCTTGCACAAAGTGAAAGGGATTGTAAATAACCCTAAGAAAAGACCACCAAAAAATTGGATGAATCAAATCAAATGATAGCATGGTAAATAAGCCATAAAACATTGGGCAGCAAAGCCCACTCATGAACCACTCTGTGGTGAAGTAACTGTCACTTTAGTTACATGTACCAAGAGCATACCTGGAGAGGGTTTCGGCAGTTTTTCTACTCCCCGAGCCTGGCCTGAGGTCAAGCTTGATACATGCATCAACAGGAGGCTGCACACCTTCCTCCTCAATTACCAACCTTCAATTACCAGTCATATAGAGAAGAAATTGCCTACCCGAAGCCCCTTGACCTGGGGAAAGAAGGTTCCAAGGAGACGTAAAAACCCACCAGAACGAGGCATTTCATTACATATCATTCAATGTTGGTTTTCGGGGAGGGCTCTATTGTGATTCCTTGGTGCCATGTCATCACAGAAAATCAAACCAATGGGGTACTCACAGGGTACACAACAAAACTCCCACAGAGCATCCTTCCAGCACACCACTATGGTGCAGAAATACCAGCAAACTGCCACAAATGGATATAATAAATGTTGCCCCTTTGGCCAAACAAACAAAGCATCAATCACCAGAGAACCCTTCCAGAAACCAGTTGTCTCACTCTTAGCCAGAAAGGAATGTGATGGCTGTAAACAGAGGAAAGGATGAAGAAAGCAAAACATCCACTTCAGGAGAGGAGCATGAAGCTCACAACCCAAAAACCAGAAGTAAGAGCCAGCAAAAATTGCCTTGTAGAAGCAATCCAAGACCAAAGGGGCAGCTGAAAACCAGGAAGAGAAGAGAAAAATTAAAACCTTGTCCAAAGATTAGGATGGTTCAGGAGCATGAACAGGCCAGATGTGAATAGCAAAGATAAAGACAAGGAGCACCAAGAAACCTCATACAGTACTATAGTGTTGCCACAATGAAATCACTATCTGAGACACCAAAATTTCAGTCACCAGCAAACCATATAAGAAGCAGTAAATAAGTCAAAATCTCCAAACGTGTAGATCGAGAGAGAGCCTGAAATCACTGAGTAACATCTTCAGGCCAATCTGTTATCAGATACTGAACCACCGAAAACTACAGCAAGACCCTCAATAGGAAGTAGGTGCTCAACTACTCCTGCCATCGAAGTGGAAGAAGTGGTCTCCAGAGAAGGCCCATACACAAGTGAAGAACCACCATCCCAGACTCTAAAACCCTAAGATGTTTTGGAACTGGGAGGAAAGGAGAGGCCCCCAGGACTGTCGAACCTCACCAGCAGAACCTGGTGGAGGAGGAGGAGCAAACTTTGAGCAAGAAGACAACACCAACTGTGCCAAGATCAGATCCTGAAAAGACAAAGGAGCTGATCATGGGGCAACCACATTGACACCAAGCTGCACCCTACGAATGTGGATAAATTTGGTTCATAAAGCATCAGCCGTCTAATGAGCCAAGTCCATGAAAAGAGGCTCTGCTAAAATAAACCCAACAATCACAAGCATCTCAAGCCTCTAGATGGAAAATAGCCCCCAACTAACATGTGGCATGACAAAGGCAGTAAGAATGGCCATGAGAATAGTGTACATCAAAACTGAGGAACATCCATCCAACTCACCCAAAGAGAGTAGAAGTGCAGTATGTACATAATAAATCCTTAAAAACTGCAAAAGGTTTCTCAGGTCCCAGAGAGTCACTCACCAAATATCACAAACACCAAAAAAGTCTATAGATAAACAGAGCAATTAAGGATGCAAGTGAATCACCATAGAATGAGCATGCAAACTACCTGTGGAGCTCTTAAATGACAACTAGACTACCCCCAAGCTTAAGGCCTCACAGAGGAGTCAACGACCCATGTATTGCCAGTGAGAGGCACCTTCCACACACAAAACTGGCTTCTCTGAGCCCCCCACACCCACTAGGGAAGTAAAATCTGGCTAGGAAAGAGCAATGACCGTGAACAGAGACAATAATTCTAGGCACATGCAGTTTCAGTTGAACAGTTAATCAAAGTCCATGCAAGAAGTGAGGCACAAGTATACATGCATCATGAATAAGTACTAAAATGCAAAACAAATACACGAGAAAATGGCCCTCGTACGACAAAAATAGCCCAGGACGGCTATCATTTATCAGAAAAACTGGAATCCCAAGGGCACTGGAGCAGTACGGGGAGTATAATGGTGAACTTGTATAGTTCACACCAGGCATGTGACTGGGGATTTAAATTTGGTAATTGAGGAATGAGTGTGTGCAGCCCCCCCTGGTGGTTTGCAAGTGTAACTAAAGTGAGAATCGTTTCACTACCAAGTGGTTCATGAGTTTTGTTTACCTTGCTGTCATCTGTTCTGATTCATCCAAATTTATAGTGGATATTTTTCTTGGTTTAGGTGATTTACAATCCCTGCTTCTTGCAACTCTCTGGAGGGGCCAGGTCACCACGTAGCCTTCCCAGAAAATACTGGGGTTTAGACATTAGGTTCCCAATTATTACTGGGTTACCTACAAGCAAACAGTGCAGAAGCCATTCTCATTCATTCCAACCTGTCCAGGATTTTTCTTAAAATGACTGTTATCTCAAGCATTCTAACGTAAAAGATATCACAAACAAGCAAATGTATGAAACTTATTTAAAAGATGCAGAATATCTAGTTAAGATTACAGCAGTACAGTTCTGTACGGTACGTAAGCAATCTTTATGCTCAACTGATTAGCACAAAGGATTTCGCACAAAGTATTAGATTGCTTACATATACAGATTAGCACAATCTGTATACATGAAGCAATCTTTGTGCTCAACTGATTAGCACAAAGGAAAAAATAATACCTGATACGAGGTGTAACCTGTGTCCCACCAGAATCCTATTTCAACCATCCATGTGACTACTACCACCACAACCAGGTAGAGAACAAGAAGTGTAGGTCTACGCCACATCCTAGCAGTCTGAGTACCTGGATTCCACTCACTACTGCATGTGAACTGAAACAAAATACCAAACCATTTTATGGGGTGCATAATAAAGAAAGAAATTGAAATTGAATTTAAAATTATACAACTATAAAAAATACTACACGTATAAGAAATAAAAAATATGTGCAGATCAATTACTTATTAATAATAGTGTACAGTATACAGTAATGTGAACTTACTCAAACGAACTATGTGAGGTGAAGTTAATTTGTTGTATGAGGGATTTCATTCACCAAGTGCATGAATGACTGGGGGTTGCTGACCAGGACCCTAGGGTCACTGGGACTGCTATCTGATGGAAAGGGAGTGAAGCTAACAAGTGGTTGGACCTAGACAACCAGTGTGTACATAGTTTATATCAGGGTTGCAAATGTTGTCCAAGGATTTCTTTGTTTTGGTGCGCTCTACCTTTCTGGTTGTTTTTCCATTGCTAATGTAGGATTTTCTATTCCCCATGCATTATTGAGGGAGCCAGATTTTGGACCTGGATGTTGGTAGTTGTTCACAGTTCGTTAAAGCCTGGTATTGGACGTAGGTTTTGAGGATTCCAAGTGGGTAGCTTGTGGAGATACAAAGGTGCCTACCAGAAAAAGGCCTTTTATTACATTCAGTGCCAGATTTTTTCATATTTTTACACAAGTGGTTACTATAGTAAACAACTTCCAACTAGTAAAGTTTTCCCTTCCAACAGCTCATATTAAGCCTTACCTGCTGGTTTTCCCTGGAAAATGACCTGCCAATCAATTTCAAACCAGGTCCAAATTACTGCTGAGTGAACAGGGGTGAAGAGTTATGGAATGGTGCCCAGTTACTCCTTCCTGGCCAGGCCTCAAAGCCAGACAAAATTGCAGAGAAGGGTTGTGGCAACTGTACTACCACTGTTCCACAGTGGCTCAATTTGGCGATAGCTTAGGCAAACAATCCTCTCAGACACAAACATCTGTCCAATCCACTGAACACAAACCATTTAACCCAAACACGAATTGAATACTGTAGAGGGAGATTTGTCAGAACAAGGTCCCACTGACTGTACATCAAAAGTGTGAATTTAGTAAATATTGTTTTCAAAATTTTATCACTTATGCTTAATGTTATTTTTAATCCAGTGGCAAACTTATTTACTGTTATAATTAATTTATTCACTAAATAAAAATAACATTTAAAAAAAATTTAGTAAAAATTGTAATGGTAGATTTCAGTATTATTTTTAATTCATATAAGATTGAGATACTGTACGTAAACACTAATACAATACATTCATACTTATCTCTTCAACAGCACAGAATATCAGTGGAATGGAATTTTAACCAATAACAACTGTACAACATTCCATTACAGCTACTATAGATCAAAGAATGTCCTTAATCATAATTGTCTACTGTAATATACACAACATATAACATACACAACATATAACATACACAAGTTAATTGATCTCTAGCATATCTTGATTCATCAGTACTAAGCTTTATCTGTTAAACTGCATTACTGTACAGAAATATCAAGCTTTCAGATATTACTGTCTTACACAATAATTATTATTTTCTGCAAACTGGTTACAAAATTTAACTGGTGTGTGTGTGTGTGTGTGTAATTACCTAAATATAATTACAAATTTGTACTTACAGGATGAGAATTAAACTTGCAGAGCCAGTCTGCCCTACACTACACTGTCATATTTGTTTTATGACATTTTGTAGCTTCCAACTGGTTCCAAGTGCCTGGACATCACTCTACTTGAGATGGATGGTAGAGTGATGGTTTCACTTCATGTAAGTCAGCTTTCAAGCCTCGACCGTCCATGTGATTGAGCACCATTCCTACCCCCCCCCCCAATCCCATCCCAAATCCTTATCCTGACCTCTTCTAAGTGCTATATAGTCATGATGGGTTGGTACTTTCCCCTGATAATTCCCTCCCTTTCTAACAGCTATGCAACCACTACCTTATGACCTTGTGGTGGTTCCAGGTATCCATATCCCTGCCGCCGATCTCTGACTCTTACATTGGTCAGAAAATTTTGATCCATGATAGTAGTCCGTATTCTAATTTCCATAACATCCTTTTGTGTGAGACTAACAAATACCTTTTATAGCATATGAAAACTGGCCTGTGATCTTGAAGCTATGTTTAGTGGAAACTTTATTTTATTTTGTTTAAATAGTTAATGCACATAATTTGGAATCAATACTATAAAAATCCCTTGACTAACAGTTACTCCTAGTATGTATGGTGACGATACTTCTTTATTAAAGATAATTCCTTGTTTCACATTAGAATATTTAATCGCACATTTGCCTAACAGAAAAACACAAATCTCACAGTGGGTGAAATAATAATTTACACCTTCAGGAGGCCCTGCAGGAATAAGCCATTAGTCCAACACAAAAAGAGGTTGCGCCACAGGAAACCAAAGCGGAAGCACATTAGTACTGAAGATGTGTTGCCTCCCTGTCAGATTAAAGCATCATCAAGTTCGGTCTGTAACTAGATAGGTGACCACATGTATGTAACCTAATGTTTGGGGGCTAAAGAGGCACCTGGATTGGCACCTTTCAAAAAGGTGCTAAGTCAGTAAGACTGTGTAACACTTGTATCTTACAGGGCATACCCCATAACCATTGTGCAATCTCCGTGGCATAGTGGCAAAACACTCGCCTGGCATTTTGCGAGCACTTTGGCCTGGGTGCTAAATCCTGGACGGGGAGGATTTACTGGGTGCAAATCCTTAACTGTAGCCTCTATTCACCCAGCAGTGGATGGGTACCTGGTTGTTAAACGATCTGGCGGGTCATAATCCGGGGAATGCCCGAAATGCTTTGCGTAATAGTGGCTTTAGGCATTGTATGTACTAGCTCTATCTATAAATCCATCAATGTTTGTATCTCACCTTGTATGTATGTACTTTACCTGAATAAACATTTGATTTGATTTGATCTGAATACTGTATTAGGATTAAGGACTTTTGCCTGAAATGCTATGTGTGCTAGTGGCTGGGGATATTTGGCTAAAATTTCTGGTAGCAATTCATTTTGAATGATTGCAAACTGTAGGTAGTAACTAAGTGACTGTAACCTATCCACCGCTGCCCACTGGATGGGGGGGCGGTGTGCAGGACAAACATATCAATTGTGACACTAGCTCTCCACATATGTCAGTTGCTTAACTTAGAAACTGTACTTGTGGTCGATCTTGAACCCATTTATGATGTGACGACTTATACTGAATTTTGTAACTAGCTCATCAAGAATATAACTTGCTTTGCTAAATGAATTGTGGGGTTCAGTCCCTGAGCCCATTTTGCCTCTGTAACCCTTTCCACTACCGCCCACAAGATGGGTATGGGGTGCATAATAAATGAACTAAACTAACTGCTATTGGCTGTACAAGAATGTATTAACTCTTGTATATATAAAGAAATAAAACAAACATTAAAAAATACAGAAGACAAGGAAGTACTGTACAGTACACAGCTCTTGGCTCAGGAGCCACTCCTGATAACACTTAATTTAATGTGCCGAATGCTTGTTAACAAGCTCAACACCAATTTATGGAACAACGTTAATCTCAGGACAGTTTACCGTGAAGGCTGAGTATGACGTGAGATGTGTGAGAAGTACACAGGACAGGAGATGGTGACCTTGCCCCAGCAACCTCCCGCTCCGTTCCTTGTTGCTACTCTGTTTATGTTTGGGTCGTCTCAAACTCTCCTCAACCAAGTAGTAAAAATAAGTCTTTATAAAAAATTAATTACACACACACAGATAGGAACATAGGTGGAAACTTAGTACTCAAATGAGCCGCAGAGACATTAGAAAGAATTTTTTCAGTATCAGGGTATTTAACAAATGGAATGCACAAGGAAGTACACCAAAGGAGGACCAAAGAGCCGAAACTCAACCTCCGCAAGCACAACTAGGTGAGAACACATATACACATTATGTACTCACCTAGTTGTGCTTGCGACGCAGGGCTGCCTGATCCAAATTGCTGAAAGTAGCGAGCTGACGGTCTAAAAGTAACGAATTTTTGATAAGAGAAGCCCGATTTTTTTAATGACTGATACGGGTTTCAAAGTAAGATATTTTGATATATAGAATGCACTACACGATGTTAATTGCTTTATTAATATTATTTCTGCACACACACACACACACACACACACACACACATATATCAAATCAAATCAAATCAAATGTTTATTCAGGTAAAAGTACATACATAGAGGATTAGTTACAAACATAATGTTGGATTTATAGATAGAGCTAGTACATACAATACCTAGAGCCACTAGTACGCACAAAGTTTCGGGTGGGGAAAAACACTTAGACTAAAACTTAATAGTAATTGAGCTTAAAGTATAAATTGCGTTGAAAGAAAAAAATAAAAGATAAAAAAGGGGGGAACATGGTAGAAAATAGCCAATATACAAGTTGGTCAACAAACAGCATTGTTTAAAAATAGTAGGACATGGGTTGACATTTAGGGGTAAGGTAGGTTACATGGAGTTAATTAGGTAGTACTTAGTTTTCATCTTAAACTGGTTGAGAGAGGTACAGCCTTTGACATGATTGGGAAGGTCATTTCACATTCTGGGTCCCTTGATTTGAAGAGCATTTCTAGTTTGATTAAGTCATACTCTTCGAATATCAAATAGGTATTTGTTTCTGGTGTAGTGCCCATGGGTTCTGTTACAACCTTCTAAGAAGCTTTTAAGATCAGGATTGACATTATAATTCAGAGTTTTAAATATATAGAGTACACATGAGAGGATGTGCAGTGACTTAATGTCTAACATATTCAGAGATTTGAGCAAGGGTACCGAGTGCTGTCTGGGGCCAGAGTTAGATATTGTTCTAATAGAAGTTTTGTGTTGGGTATTTAGAGGACGTAAATGATTTTGGGTAGTAGAACCCCAAGCACAAACACCATAGTTGAGATAAGGATAGATGAGAGAGTAATAGAGTGTCACCAGGGCAGGGCGAGGTACATAATATCTGATCTTAGAAAGAATGCCAACCGTTTTTTAAACTTTTTTTGATATATTTAGAATGTGTCCCTGGAAATTCAGCTTGCGGTCAATGAGAACGCCAAGGAATTTGCCATCTACTTTGTTACAAATTTGGGCATTGTTAATCCTGAGATTTATTTGATTTGAGGATTTATTGCCAAACAAAATATAGAAAGTTTTGTCAATATTGAGGGTGAGTTTGTTGGCAGTGAGCCAGTGATGGACTTTATTTAACTCAGTATTCACTGTGACATTTAGAGCAAGGGGGTCAGACTGGAGTAAATGAAGGTCGTGTCGCCAGCAAATAGAATTGGTTTGAGATGTTGG